CAAAATCAGCGGTTCATGAAACTTGTTTAAAACTTAGCGACTAGCACCATGTTCAAAGATTTCGGTTGCGACTTGTTTTTTGTCCAAAAAGCACCATAAAAGTAAAGCTACTTACTTTCCAGCCACGTGTGCATTCTCGATATAAGCAAGTGCTGCCTCCAGTCCTTTGAGTTGGGCTACGGCATTGGAATCTGTTACGAATCTCTTGACAAGTCCAAGGTATTTGCCCCATTCCGGGCTCTTCTCGTCTTCTATCCTCTGGAAGAGCTTCAACGCTTCCTCGTATCCATTTAACCTTGCTTTCCAAATCTAAGGGAAACCAGAAGATCAATAATGACAACAACAAAAAAACAAAACAACCAAATAAATGAGTTAATGACTTGAGGTAGCTAACTGGCCCACTTTCCTTAGAGGCATAACAGCCATTATTTATAATAGACATGAACTCTTCAACTACACAACATGCTTTATCATTTAAGTCGCAATGTGCAGTACATGCATACAACTCAGGTTGATAAAACAAAGTACCAACTACTAAACTGAATTTTTATCAGAAAACTGAAACTCAAGCAAAAGGTGTGACTAATCAATGTATCAATTTACTAATCTGTCAAAAACAAGGGCACGGTCTCAAAGACAGACCTTAGATTAAGGTAGGATTAGGCCTTAGTTCAATTAGGGCATTTAAGTAGCTTTTATAAATGTGCCTTAAAAAAACATTAGTGGTGGTGTGCATCTTAAAACAAAACAGTGGCACTGACATATTTTAGGATATGCCAGTGCAAGCTGCTTTCAGTTAAAACATTTTAGTCTAGGACTAGGCTTAAGTAACCTGGCCCTTGCCAGATGAATTTCGCTCCGCCTAGCTTCACTCACATCCATCTGGAACCGATCCATTGAAATAGCGTTTCAGAAGGCTGGGCCTTATCAAAAATCCTTGCATATGATTGGATAAGCCACTTGTCTGTCATCTTTATCGACGTGCTATTTCAACCACTCACACCGAAGCCAACCCGTGACGCTGAAAAATCCGGTCGGGAGAAGGCACTGATCTATATAACATCGTTTCCACCAACAAAAGCCTTAAGAGCCGTTCTCTGATGTTCTTTTAATGAAACAATATTAGGTAGATTGGACAACACGGATGAAATCAATGTTAACAGCATCAATGTTAACGCTTGTTTCCTCGATGCGAGCCGCCATTGTTGTCTGAATCAAAACAGTCTCACGGTCGCTTCTCCACTACGTCACATCTATGAAACTCCCGCCCTGCGTCCTGATTGGCTAAACCATAAAGTTGGTTGGAGAAATCACTCTCAATGGAAGAGGTTCCAGATGGATGTGAGTGAAGCTAGGCGGAGCGAAATTCATCTGGCTAGGGCCAGGTTAAGGCTTAAGCCTGGTCTGTGAAAACAGGGGTAATGTTTCAAACAAAAGTGCTGCACACTACTCTCACCCCCGATCATCCCGCCCCTTAACTACAAGTATCAGCAAGAAAAAAAAAAATGAATGAACATCAAAAGGCATGTTGAAAGATGCCTTGCAACTGGCTGAAATAAAGGCTTGAGTAATCATCCAATCAGTTTAAACTGCGGGAAAACGTCATATGTAAACATGTCACCTAAGATAACATTAACGATTCACCTCAGGAAAGTTATCCAATGTCCATAGTAAATAAAAAAAGCATAAATCCTAAATTATTATGATGCATTATTATATATTATTTTAACTTAACCTGTATTATAACACACAATATACAAGGATCCATTAAATTGATCAATTACAGTAAAGAAATATATAATGTTACAAAAGATTTGCATTTCAAGGAAAGAATATCTGTTTTCAAAAATACACAACAGTTTGATAAGATACTTAAACAGCATGTTAGAATGATTTCCGAAGAATCACAGGACAGTGTATACTGGAGTATTGATACTGCAAATTCAGCTTTTGGTTCTATTAAATTTTTATATTTCAAAATATTACTGTTTTACTGTACTTTCATTCAAATAAATGCAGCCTTGGTGAGCATAAGACTTTTCACATTATCAACATTACAAAACCCAAACTTTTGTATAGTTTATGTAGGCTGTGTGTACATGTCAAACAAGCATATCTTTAGTGCTAATGTTTTTGAAGTTAATTATTTTTAATAATGGGTTTATAATGTCCAACATGTAAATACATCTTTGCAGTGGTTTGGAGTATAAACCCCCTCCCCCCCTTTTTTTTAACTACACTTTTCACTTATTGATATGAGCAAAAGAAAAGAAAAACATAGGCTAGCTAGGTTAAACTATTTAGCTAAGTAGTTGCACACCTAAATGTAAATGAGATTCAGTTCATCAAGGTGTAAGATTTCCATAAAGAATGTTCACATTTATTTCACTGCTTTGCATGCATTCATCTCTAAACAATTAGGGCGAGCAAACTGCTGACAGTTTGGTTCTTCGAACACAAGCTGGTCTTCCAACACTCTCAGGGGATTTTTAATGGGCCAAAATATAAAAGTTGCCTGGATCGCTCACCTTGTGTTCACATTTCTGGTCGATGGGTAACTTCATCCATTCACTGTCATCCGCCATGGCTGTTTTCTGTCGGTCTGATCTATTCAACTAAACAAAAGAAGGGGAAACTTTGGTTGCTGACACGCCATACAAAGCAGAACAAAAATTCAATCAAACCAACTTTTACACACAAAAAACATGTGCTAAATAAGTAAAGGACACAGTTTAAGAACAGATTTTTAGATAACTTCAAGATCAATATTAAATGGACATGTTTGAGCTCATCTGACGCATACAACAAACACCTCAACCATAAGCATTAAGAACAAATATAATTAACATGACATGGGGAACTTGACTAGCTTGCCATAGTAAATAAAGTTCAGTGCACTTTGCAATATCCACATGCATTTCAACAACAATCTCCAGCCAGACAGAAGAAATGCCTTGAGTCACTTCACAGCAAATGCACACATCATCCAGATCTGCAGCCAAAGCAGAGCAACATCCACTAATGCATCTCCCAGAAGAGCCTGGTTTCATATTACATATATCGATCTAAGCCTAAATGTTAATACTTAAATACAAAGCCCATGCTTTAAGTGAGGAAAACACCATTTAAAAGCATATAGGCTAACGTAATGCCAAAGAAACGTGTGCATGCAGAAAGCGCCGCCAATTCAGCCCGCCCAAAACAAACATAAAAGCAAACAATGAATGTTTAGAGCAATGGCAACCGTCTAAATTATGTATTAGTCAAGAAAAATATAAATAAAGTAGTGCGAGGCATTTAAAAACGTTAGAGTGGTTTGCAGCGCATCACATGTGAAAACACTATCGGGGTGCAGCAGAGCCGTTAGTGACCCGCAACCACTGTCGCTCGGCCCGTATCATTTTGCAGATTAAGACGTTAAAAAATGGTCTTATTTCAAACAGGACACTGCTATTTTAATCCTCGCGGCTTAATAAAACAATTCCCGTGTATGGTTTGTTTAGTTTCAGGGTGTAAATATGGCTAAATTTAAATATACCGGTTAGCTGTTAGCACATACGCGGCCCTGACTGGCTGTCTGTTACCAGAGACTATTTGCTGTTACTCCTGCAACAGCTTAACCATTACGAGATTCAAACAAATATCGCCATTTTCATAGCTTTCCACAACGACTAAAATGTCAACATTTATCCTCATCATCTCATCTAACCTGACATGTGACAGTAAAATGAAAACCCCGACTCACACTATTGTTTGTCACACATATAAAAGCGGCTTGATATTATTCAGTCCGTCACTAAAACCGAGGCCCTCAAAAAAAACGCAGCAACGTATAATGAAGCCGAAAACGCTTCAAACGGCTTTAGTGTAATAATCTCGGATCACAATTTCACATATCAGTTTTATTTACCTGCTTTTAGAGAGGGAAGACAGGGCGATCTTCATCAGCTGGGACCGATATTTGGTCATTACTCTCTGGGCTTTGAAACGCCTCCGAGGGCGGGGAGACAGAGGGAGGAGAGACGCCTAGTTTTCATTCAAACGTCCAATCCATTTGTTATAGGCTGTATAGTGCATTTTGTGGTTTATACAGGTTTTATTGAATATTTAGTGTTTTAACGTTAAAGTGAAGCGAGCATGCAATTACAGAATCAATTGTCTTATCACGTTTTCAGTAAAGAATATACTTTTGGTTTTGGAACAAAACTTTGGGACATTGACAAACAAAATAAAAAGCAATTCAATACATGTGTGTGTGTGTGTGTGTGTGTGTGTGTGTGCAATTGTTAACAGTTTTGCAATATATAACATTACATATCTATTCTAAATAAAATCTAGGTATTTTATGAACAAAATACTTCTTTAGCGTGCATTTGAGTAGGTATTGTGTATATATATATTCCTAGTTTGTGACAGATCTAAATAGTAAAATGTTTATCAGGATCCTTAACTCTTATATGGATTTCAGTGCTTTTGGAATTGATATGTGTGCGAACTGTGGCAGCGCAAAAATACAGATCCTCATCCTCGTGGATTAGTATTTAAATGGAAAGCCATATGGGCGCAGTAAACAGCTGTGCTGCGCATGCGCGGGTTTCCATAGCCGCGGCTGCATCAACAAAAACTGACGAAACACAGCCGAGCATTTTTCAAAAACGAGGACGAGACTCCACCCAGCGCTCACTTCCGTGTTGTGTCATGTGCTGCTCGACCGCGTCGTCTATTGGTTGTTTTATATCCCTGGATGAATTTGTGCCAAGATACTGTCTCAAATTCGAAATAAATATTCCTGGAAAACACGCAAATATCGAATTCCAGTGATCCTATATTTTTAAAATAAGACAATAAAGTGTATTTAAATGGAGTGATATAAAGGTTTACCTTTCATTTTAGCACTGAGTCCTAAGAAACTGTACGCATGAATCCTTACTAGCCTATTAGATGCGCTGTAGTCAGTGCAGAGTGGGCACACTGACCGCTACAGCATCTTTAAGGACATTCTGAATGGGCTACCAGGAGAGTCATGGACCGCATCTGCATCCCAGCAAACCATAAAAAAGCATGAAAATGAATTCGGATCGTTTCAGCCTCACTGTTGACGAGTATTTAGGTAGGCTATGTTACGGTTATCCCTTGTGTAACGTTAGTTGTTTTGTTGGTGCGCAGACTGCTTGCAGAATGCCTGCTTGCAGAATGATTGACAGTTGCTTGCAGAATGCCTGCTTGACAGACTGCTTGACAGACCTGACAGACTGCTTGCAGAATGCCTGCTTGCAGAATGATTGACAGTTGCATTAAAAAGTATGAACACAGACACACTACTGTCATGACATTGCCTTTTCTTTTTTTACTTTCCAGCTGAAACGAATGTCCTCTTTTATCTCAATGATGCAGTCACACAGCTACTTGAACATAAAGAGGAATACACTCAATTTGGTGTGGTCCGATATTTTGCAGAATAGTAAGTTATTATAAATAATTATATATTATTTGAGGACACATTATCATGGTACTCCATGATACTAAAGCTAATACAGATACTACCATGGTACATGTCCTAAAGTATAACATAATTGAATAATAATTTTGCAGTTTTACTAGTGTGAAGAATGGGAATCATGTGCTCTTCAGGGAATTCAGTTACATCAAAGCAACACCTCATAACAAAGAGTCTTTCATCCATATCTTCTGGAAATGCTTCCGACAGATTGGAAAGAATGGGGGTAAGCAGAGGCAAATACGCCATTTGTCATGCCACTACAATTTACTTCAGTTGTTTGCATTGTTGTGTGGTACATCGAACTAATACAACTGTTTCTTTTTAAAGATCTGTTGGCAATGTCAGAATACAGTTCACTTTTACAGCTGTTATGCCCTGACTTTCCCACTGAGATGGTACAAAACACAGCCAGGTAATTTCATATTTGCTGTTTGATGATTCTTTGACGTTTCCCTCCTTTCACATTGATTGATATTTAACTGAATAACTTTAATGTTTTCTTTCTATCGCAGGATTGTCCTGATAGACGATGCCACTGATTGTCTGTCATTCTCCGATTTTATTTATTCATTCCAAATCCAGTTCTATTATGAAGGTATTTAACTAATAATATACTAAACTAGACTATAATATAATATAATATAATATTAAGCTGCACTTTGCTTATGACGTCTGTATGTACATCACATAACCTACTTTATGGTAAACATATTAAGTGAATTCAAAATGTTTAATTGTAACCACATATAGCAATTAAAAAACATACAATTTTCCTTATACATTCATATAAAATGAAAAGTAAAATCTTGATGTTAAGAAATTAGATTCAGGTGTTATTTCTTAACCCCCCAATCACAAAAGAACTGGTGATATTTAAAGGTCATGCTAACACAAAAGCTGCACTTGACCTTGAGATTTTAACAGCGGTGTAACAAAAGGCCAGTGACATCATCACCATGTGTAAGCGTTTCCATGGTTACTCGAGGCTCCGCCTTTCATCAGAATGATCTAATCTTCATCCACTTTCACAGAGTTTGTAGAGAGTGTGTCTGTGATTTACCAAGACCTGTTGTCAGGGAAGAACCCAAACACCGTCATAGTCCCGACCTCCACCTCTGTGGAACAGCTGTCCAGCGCAGCCAATGAGGAGCCGGACGCTCAAGAAGGCGTAGACTCCTCCATCTTTTGTGAATGTATAGAGGGTCTTTGTGAGAGGTTCAAACACAAGTAAGACATTCATTCAATATTTATATACTATTGTAGTATTTATTAATATTTTGAATTAGCTTTTATTTTTATATTTTTAGTTTACATTTTGATTTAAGTTTAAGTAATTTTTTATGTGGTTTTGAATTTTTTTTTTTAAATAATATGTTCTTGGCTTTTATTATTTTTTATTTATTTTTTGTTTTAATTTTGTTTCAACTTACAATTAGTTTCCAAGGCAACGTTTTTAATGTAATATTTATATTTTATTGCAATTTTATTTCAATGACAGAAAATTATCTTTAATATTTTTAGTTAACAATCACAACACTAGCTCCATTTAATTCTGCAGAATTACAGCAATTTGTTTCTCAGTAAGTATAGAAATTGTGTGCAGATTTATTGTGGACCTATATTTAACTTATAAGTAACAAATGAATAAGAACAATAAATATAAATTATTTAATTTACTAATTCATTGTATTATGTTGTTGCATCTACAGTATATTTCAATAAAACTAGAAAATAATATTAGGCTTGTATACTAAGTTTTACTCTACAATGGAACCTACTATAACCATCCTCACTACTGTTTGGGAAAATTACTTTTAAAAGTAATGCATTACAAATTGTACAATATTGCGTTACTCCTTTAAAAAGTACACATTTTAAGTTACATTTTATGGAAAGTAATGTGTTACGTTACTTTAGCCTTACTTTTTCTCACCATGGCTGGGCTTGCTTGTTTGTTTTTTAATAACAAAAAAATCCAAAAGTTCTATTTTTGGCAACTGTAAAGTTACTTAAAAAAGTAATCTGATTACGTAATTTGCATTACTTGTAATGTGTCACCCACCAACTCTAGAACATGATATTGATTTCATCTTTTCCCAGGTTTCCCTCCATTGTTGCCATTAAGGAGATATTAGAGAGCAGTCAGCGAGTGTCTTTCTATAGCTTCCTGATGGCCTTGGCCAAACATGAGGGAGTAAACCAAGACATCAGTGAGTATTTGCTAATATAAAATGCTTACTCGTATTTCTGAATACATGTAACTTTTGTTCTTATGATAGTTAGACATGTGAACTGAATGCTTTATCTTCTGTCATATAATTATCAGGTGCTCTTCCCAATAAATCGGACCTGCTGATTGATCCAGAGATGGACCAGGAGCTGGAGAGACTGTGAGAGAGACGGACTTGCTTCAAAGAGTATATTACAGTCACTTGCTGGTTAACTAAAACGTCTTTTATTAAAAGACGGAGAGCGTGCTAACAATCTTTTTTATATTTAACACATTTTATTGAAAGCTAATATGCTAGAGGGTAGATTTGAGATGTAATACATGTTTCTGTGAATTTCCCAGCATAGCTCAAGTTGCCATCAGCCCGACGTCCAACAACAGCAGCAGCAGCGCTGCGGGACAGAAGGAGACGTCCAAGAAGGCCTCGCCACGCAAGTCCCTGCACCAACGCAAGAGGATCGAAATGGAGAGCGACGGTTCCACGGAGGAGACAGACTCCTCTGAGAATTAACACGCACATCCCTGCTTGCTAGCGTCTTTTTGATTTTTTAGACAGCAGTTATGCTGGTTCACTGATTTGATTAGTCAAGTGGTCGTTCCAGCAGTGCTGATGCATCTCTCTGCCTGCGCTCACTCTTCCATTTCTATGGGCTACACTGTAACCCACTTACTTTCATTGCTGAAACCATAAAATAAACAAATTAGCCATCCATATTGTGTCTGAAATGCCAATTACTTAATATTAACTTCTTGTTGTTAAAGGGATAGTTCACCCAAAAATGAAAATTCTGTCAGTAATTGCTCACCCTCATGTTGTTCCAACCCCGTAAGACTTTCGTTCATCTTCGGAACACAAATTAAGATCTTTTTGATTAAATCTGAGAGCTGGATCACTCCTCCATAGGCTTCTTAAGGGATCGAAACTGGCCGGCCCAAAAGTTATGAAAGACATCGTTAAAATAGTCCGAGTGACTACAGTGGCTCAATCTCAAGTTTATCAAGCGACAAGAATACTTTTTGTGCGCAAAAAAACAAACAAAAATAACGACTTTATTCAACTTGAATAAAGTATTCTCGTCGCTTGATAAACTTAAGATTGAGCCACTGTAGTCACATTTGGACTATTTTAACGATATCTTTCATAACTTTTGGGCCAGCCAGTTTAGATTCCTTAAGAAGCCTTACGGGGTTGGAACAACATTGGGGTGAGTAATTACTGACAGAATTTTCATTTTTGGGTGAACTCCCTTTAACTGTTGTATAAAGGAAAACGCAGTACAGTAATTGATCTGTAATATATGTATATAATAAATTATATATATATATATATATACATACATGAAAACTCGAGAAATAGTTTTAGGACTAGCTTTCAGCACTGAACAATACTGAACCAGACTATTTAAATGTTGAGGAAGCAATCTCATTGGCTCCAGGACTAGCAAAGGCCAATCAGTGTGTGCAATGCGGTAATGATGTGATTGCATGTAAACCTTTCAGCCTGCGCCCTCTAGAGTTTCATGACTGATATACTGTTAGCAATAACACACCGGGACAATCCATTTACAAATAGGATTTAATTTTATGGATTCCACAGAACAGTTATGATCATTCAAAAAAAAAAAAAAATGTACAGTGATAACAGATGAAATAGGCACAACTTGTGATTTTGCAGGATCGATTCGCAAATATTTTTTGCAGACACAAATGGTCCTAATAACTGAATACCACCTTTCAAAATGGCCGTACCAAGCAAAATATCTTCACGCACAGTGAGAAACTGTTCTACAGAACACCATTTCTGCAGATTATTCAATTAAGACTGCTCATTTTGTGAATATTGCATATTAGGTAAGCGCATGCTGTGAGGATGTGCCATTTTGAAAGGACTGGTGAAGATGGGTCCATTTTAGGCCTTGGCTTTAAAACCTTTCCTTTTTTGTATCAGGAAAACAAAAAATGAGCAAGCACAAACTTTTCACTACCAGGCAGCAGTATTCCTCAGCACCATTTATACAGGCCTTTCTGTCATTATGACAGTGTTGCATCCTCTCCTTATATATATTTCAGGTGCCAGAATAATATATACTTTAAGATCTTTCCATTTTGTATAGTTATAAATAGGATATCTAATATAATATGTAAAAAGAAAATAAAATTATTTGGTTTTCACAGCTACATATGCCAGGGATTCTGAGATTGAACCAGAATGCAAAAAGGCCCAGACTATGCTCTGTTTAACAGAGCAACATATGGGAATCTAAGCACACATGAACATTGAATACGAGAACCAAAAAGAAAAAGCATTCACAGAATTAAGCATGGATGCTGTATTGTATTTGTGAGACTTTGTAGTGCGCAGATAAATGACAGCAAGTACCCAATTGAACCAAGAACACTTGAAATTGTGGCATTGGGCCGTAAACACAGGAAAACAATGGAAAAAGTAGCTCTGTGGAATGGACAAGGGAAAAATGTGGAATGGAATTCTAGGTGCTCTAGGGGTCGTTCACACAGAATACCTTTTTTTCCATTCCACTGCACTACTTTACCATTGTTTTTCAAAGTAAAACCGCTAGACGGATGTTGTTAACCATTGCATTTGCGTCTTGCACATGACATGACATGCAACCGTTGCCAGCTAGAAGCAGTCCATACTGGACGCGACAAAGCAACCATTGCAAATCCAGTTGTCCTTCATATCAGAAGTAGCGCAAACCCATAGAGTACATCAGAAATAGAACCGGGCATCAGTTTACTGTCGCGACGCATCCACTGTAGACAGCATCACTGATTATAATGGATCCTATTTGCTTTTTCGCATCACGTTGTACTGCGGTGTAGACACGGCATTTAAAAACATGGCGCTCAAGTTAAAAGTTTGTCAGCTTTTAAAAAATGGGTCTCTAGACCTTACGCTTTTTGTTCCACTGACCTTACTCTCTCATTTTTCAGAGCAAATACACAATCTGTGTGAACAATCCCCTAGAGTCGATCGTGTTTGACCTTTACGGTCGCATCTCGCGTCTTTTGCGCTCTCTAAAAATGTGGCAGTCAGGCAACGCGTCTCTAGACCTTGCTTTTTTTTTTCATTCCACTGACATTTTTTACGCCCAATAACGCGCTCTGTGTGAATTGAAATCAAGTAGCTTTCCTTAGGATTCCTACTGTATTGATTTCGACTATGTCAATTCCATACACAACGATAAATGTGACTGCACTTTAATGCTCTGGATCAGGGATTCATAACCTTGGGTTCAAAGAGTGGCTAATACGATGTTGTAAATGTTGGAAAGTGGTCTTAACCTGTGGTGCAAAGCGGGTCAGGGACACCAGATGGACAAACTGGGCTGAATTCAATTCCATGGCTCACATCCGTTCTGAGTGAAGAAGGACGAGCCCCAGTAAAGCTTTGGTTTCTGAGAAAAACTTGATTTTGGATCCAGTCTAGCTTTATGATCTCTTTTCTGTCTTGTGTTGTTTCATCCATCATTAATGCATCAAACATTGTGCTTCGAATTAATTCAAATGAAACCAAACTTCGCACAGAAATGATTTTTACAAGTTACATCGAACATTTTTTTAGTTATTAAACTTCGTAAGGCTTTACACCAGTCAATAATACTCAAGATGTACGAGGTGAAAGTAGTTGCGGTGTGGCCGATATTTGTTTCGATTTTAACATTTGTCTGAAACAGACGTCAACATTATATCATCAACATGACACGTTACAAAGAGGATCAAAACCACCATCATGCAACACCTCATATAGTATGTGATAATGCAAAAATACAAATAGACCGAAGGTCATTCGAGGAAGATGTCTTCTGTCGGACAGGAATATTCCATATTTTCTTTGTAGAATTGCTGAAAAGCTTTCCTGTTCAAACAAAGAAAAACTATTTACATTCATATTTATATTGTGTGCAACAAAGTCATATTTTAACTGCATTTTGGAAAAGTCTAGATGTGATTTTAGATCTAGAAACTACAATCTACAATGAATTTTGTTTTTATTTATGCCGAACACAAAAGTGCGTTAGTGCCATATTTTAAATGAACTTTTAGCAGATCGATGTAGGTAAAATTTTATGTAAAAAATTAAAAATGTATCTTTTTCTGAGAAAATGTATAATTTTATAAAATGTTTAGATAATATGACGTCACTCCGACTAATATACGACCTTCAAACAACTAACAACTATCAAATCACGCATTTGTATAGGCTACTACTGTATATGTATCTCTAAATATAGTAATAAGCAAAAAGCAGTATATCAAAAAAGTGGGATATGTCTCAAATACATAAGTTAGTGTTTCAAGAGAAAATAAGTGTGAGCATCGTGTGTAATCTTGAAGTGACTGGAGAACTCACCCTACAGATTCAGCCAGTTTTGTGGTTGTATCATCTGAGAAGAACACGTGACAGGCAAATCTCTGGTATGCTGGATGTTTCGTTATTAGTCCAAAATACCTGAAAGAAACACACAAGAGTATTTACTGTCAAGTATCTGACTCTATTGTCATTGTTGTGTGTTCTCATGGTTTCCTGTAGGGGGCGGTGTAGCTAGATAAAAATGGGGTTATTGTTACAGCTTTATATAAGTGACCAAGAGCTCTTAGTCCCAGATTAAGAATCTTATATTAGTCTCTGCATCTAAGCTACCATTCAGATTTTGAAAGAAATTAAGGATTACTTTTAAGGATGCATTAAAATGATCAATACTGTTGAAGCAGATTTCTATTTTAAAAAATGCTGTTCTTTTATATTTTCTATTCATTAAAGAATCCTGAAAAATGGTTTCCACAAAAATATTGATATTTCAACAGTGATAATGATAAGAAATGTTTCTTGAGCAGCAAATCTTGAAATCAAAATGCAATCTTGTATGCAAATCAAAGCATACTATTTCAGAAGGATCATATGTCAGTGAAGACTGGAGTGATGATGCTGAAAATTCAGTTGTGTATATATTATATTTTAAAATATATAAAAATAGAAAATAGTCATTTTAAATTGTAATAATATTTCACAATATTACTGTTTTTAATTTATTTTTGATCAAACACATTCAGCCTTTGTGAGCATGAGACTTCTTAAAAAAAATATTGCCAACCCCAAACCTTTGAAAGGTAAAAATCTATTAATTATTTATCAATTTATTAAAATTTATTTCAATTATTTTTTTCATTTATTTCAATTATTTATTTCAAGCGTGATGAGAAAAACAATGCATTTGTTCAAACTCACTTGTTATTCTTTGGATGGCATCCGCAGAAGGAGATGTTTTTCAATTGGAAAAAGTGAAAGCACTTCTCACCCTGTAAAATATGAAAAGAAAGACTGAGTGGTCTAATCAGCAGCAGGGATTGGAAGACATTAGTGTAAGCAGGAAGCACATGATGTCACTGCAGTGTGAGGTCGTCTCAGTATGTGCGTTTAACTCCTGAAGCCTGCGATTAACATCACTGAGCGCGCTCACAAAATCACTCAGAGGGGCTTAGGGGGCGAGACTCCCCCGCATTCTTAAGACGCTTCATTGCATAACTGTGGAACGTAAATGTTGCGTCACAGAGTTCAGTTGAGTGGAAGAGCCTTTTGGTGGCAACATCTAGTCACATTAAGACACCGCCTCCATGGGGTCAAATGTCAAAGTCCATTTCCAAATCACAAATCTACAGGTAATGCCTACTATGCTATTTCATGTCATCATTAATTTTTCAAATATAGAAATAACATTGATTCGTCTTTTTTTAGATTAAACTCCTAATATTTTCTAATATTATATTAGTAATTCTATAAGTGTTTCTTCTAATGCAAAACTTCAAAACGTTTTCTTGAGATTATTCTTTATTAAAAATTATTTCAAAGGTTTAATCAGGTAATATCACTTTTACTAACAAAAGGCATATCCTTAATGACATCATCTTTCAGGAAGTGACATCATTTTGGCAGGACAACAATAGAATTAACATGAGCAAGTATTTGCAATAGATTTTATGATTTATGTAAGGTTTTGTAGCATTAGTCGGTGTCGCTCAGTTTAAAATATTCCATCCCTGGATAAAATGATAGCAATTGATATCAGAATATTTCAATATCAGATTATTTCAAAGATTTAAAAATATAAAATACTTAAAATATAAGGTTAAAACATCAAAATTAAATTGACCCCTTAAACCCTTTATTGAATTACTTCCATAAATAATAACACAACATATTCATTTTGAAAACTATTTGATAAGGTACTACATGACAGGAACGACCATATGCTTGGCGAGTAATTTTTAGAAGAATATTAGTAATTCTGAGGTATACAAACCCTTCCAGAAGTCCGACAGTCATCCTGAACGATGATTTTCACTCCTCTTGTGTTGATTTCCAGAATGCAAGGCGAAGGGGGGCTGAACTGCATTGTTTTTCTTCTGTTTGATGCTATCTGTTGACATAATCAGATTGCGTATGAACATCAGATTACATATGAACAACAACATAACATGAAATTATTATGTAAATATATGGAAATCCAGGGCAGAATTATAATACAGAAATGTAGTATACCTTGTGCATGGCGGCACAAAGCACATCGTTCCCTTTGTGATACGGCACTTGAACAGAACCAAGGAATTTCACCCAGAATTTGTCCATCCAGTCACTTTTGACCTCTGAATAAATCACAGCGAACAGACATTATTGCACAATGAACAAAAATTCAAATACTCAAAATGCCAAAGAAAAGCCAAGGTTTACCTTTAACAAGTTCATCCTTTGTCACCTTGACGGCGTAGAATGCAGGAAAGATGCCTCTGGATCCAGTGCGCATGTTGTAGCCCTCACACCACAGATCCTCGGCCTGAAACTCGACCAGTAAGGGGTCATCCGCCTCCAACTCCAACTCATCATCATGGCGAGGAATAAACCTGTGAACGAGACAAAATTAGGAATGCTCAGGTCAAATGTGGTATGATTAGGAGATCTCCAAAAAAAATTGAGTTTAGGGAACCACGCATGAGTAGAGTGTGACTTTGTACAAAATATACATTTGTATGCATAGATCTGTCCTATTACTCATGTTATGTTTTTTTTTGTGTGTGCTGTCATCTTGTTTTGCTGTAGTTGGTTTGTGGGTGAATTTCACTACAAATCAAAAGAATAAATCTGTTTTTAGTACAATTACTTTGCATTGCGATATTCTCATGACAAAATGATACTTAAAATAATAACAACAACAATAATAAAACAAATAAGGAAGGAATGTTATTATTATTATGCTTTTTTATTGTTTATTATTATTACTTGAATTTTATTCAATTAAAAAAGTAATTACTGCATACATTAAATGCAGTACATAACTTGACGAGTGTATTCATCTCTCAGCTTAAATATTACACAATTTCTTATAATAAAATGAAGAAAATTAAAAAACACTAATGGTCTTCAAAAGAATATGCTCAGTATATGTTTCAATATCCCTTTTAAGTCACTTTTTTGTTGTGCTTTTTAAATTAGTGCATCTCAGGCTTTGGTTGAATCTTTACCTGAACACTGCTCTGTGGCTCTGTTCTCTTTCCTCTCCATTAATAACACAGGAGAAGAATCCAAACTCCGCCCCTAAGTCGGAGAACAAACGTGGGGATATTCAAATTAAATGACCCATCATACCACTGATCAGCTCTACCAAACTTGGATGTCTTTTTCCAGTAATAAACAAACACTGTTAAGTTGTTTTGATTGATACTGTGAAGCAGCTTTGATACAATCTGTATTGTGAAAAGCACTATATAAATATATTTGACTTGACTTGACTTGACGTTCATTGTCACTAGAACAACAAGGGAAAGAGACATTTCGGCAGGTAGTGCTTGCTGAATTTCATAGTCTTGCTCCTGGCTTGTAAAAGGCGGGTCTGATATTAGCAAACCTGTTAATGAGGAAAATCTTTGCAATTCTTGTATTATGTATGATGGAAGGGGTGCCACAAGGTTCAACCCTTGGACCTTTGCCATTCTTCACACTGCACTTGCATTTTTTGGTAAAACCACTCCACGTAGCCATTTATTCTCTCTGAATTATATGACATGTTCAACCCTTCTACAGGACAGGTTATGACATAAAGTCGTCATCTACTGGGAGTGCATGGTCTTTAGAACAAATTATTGTAACATATTTGAAGGACTAATAGAGAAGCTTCAAAAACTTAGGCACTATTCAATGCCATTACAAAGCTGGGAAGAGCCAGGATATTATTTTTAAAGAACTCAGATTTTGTTTGGCTGAAAGAAGAAGCCATATACACCCAGGATGGCTTGAGTGCGAGTATAATGCGAGGGATAATTTTCATTTTTAGGTAAACTATTCCTTTAAGATCTGTGCACATTTGCAACAAACCCCCAAGTGAAAAACTTTTTTTTAAGAACATGAATTCTAAATAAATTCATTTCTAAATTCCAAACTACTTCCTAAGCTCATACTACTCACCAGAGAAACGTGACCGTCCATTCACAAAGACATTCTTGAACTTGCGGGAACGGGGCATGTCTGAGGTGGTGTCTGTGGTGGAGTCCGCAGACAAACAGGAAGTGTCTCTCCTCATGCTCGTCGCTCCCGACTCTTCCTCCTCTTCGTCCGCATCCTGATCCTCCTCATCATCGTCGATGGCAGATTCGTAGACTGTATTGTCACTGTCACTTTCGTAACCTTTGTAACAATCCTTGATGCTCACTAGCTCGAGCTTAGCATGCTCATCCACCACCAGGGTGTACTTGACAGAGTCATACGTCAGTCCCGAAGCATCCGTGCTGACCGCCACCGTCTTTAAGGTTCCCTTGTCCTCCTTCGCCACTTTGGGCTTGCGGGTTTCAGCCCACTGACTAGCATCCCCCGGGTCACCGAGGCTGACAGTCCGGCATGGGGGTGTGGGTGGATACACCTCATCCTCCTCGCTAATGGAGGGGTTCGGACAACCCGCCGATGGGTAGTTGTGAAGGGGAGGAATCTCCGTGTCCGAACTAATGGACATGCGATTGCTGTCGCTGCTCTGGGACAGAAACGGTCGCTCCTGCTCCCCGTTAACCGGCGTGAGGTGGATCTCCTCAGTGGCATTTCCTTCGGAAATGCGATAGTCCTTGTTTTTGTCGACCGACTGGTCACACGTATCTTCATTCTCCACAGGATACTGCACTTGTTCCCGATAGCCATTGACGGTGTGATACCGGGCTTTTTCCTTGCAAAGGATCGGCATGTCAAGGACACCCTCTATGAGGGTCACTTCCGTGGATTTTTCCCTCATGACTGCCTTTGTGAGGGGCGCCACCACTTTGGGGTTGTTCAACTTGTCCTGCTGCTTGGTGCGAACGGCTGAGGCTTTATTCGTGGAGGAGGCAGGGCCTCGTGGTTTGGTGTCAGCCCTGGCCTGAACTTTGTCCCCATCGGTCTGGCTAACCTGCTCGGGTTTGGCCGCTGGATCTCCTGTTTCACACACAGAAGATTATACATTAGGCAATAAGCCTAATGGAGGAAAATATTTGAAGGGGATTATGTAAAAATGTCAGTTAATGCCTCATAAACACAAAATGTTACATTTAACTCAGCACAGGAAGTAATGAATCCTGATGATTTTTAAACCGGTATAGAAATTCTGTTTCATTATAGTTAATCAACTGTTATTCAACTTTTTTATATACTAACCTAAACGAAAATAAATAAATAATGAAACGATGAGACTAAAGTAGCGACAGATCATAAGAAAATGTAGGGCGGGTCTTTGTTCAATCCATTGCTTTTTGATTGGATGGAGGCAGATTTGAATGCAAGCTTGCAGTTGATTGTAAAAAAGGGCGGGGTTTAAGCAGACTATATGATTGGAGAAGTCCATCATACATCATCAGAGATAAGTGTGTTGTTTCACTGGAAGACTTAGTTATGGTCTTCCAAAAATAAAGAAACATGCAAGGATGAATTGTTCACGATAAGATAATTTAACATGCATTTAGAAAGCTATGAATTTTCATTTCATGCTGACTTTAAGGTAATGTGTTTAAGTTGGTGGACTCGGTGCTAATGCTTACACACACAAAATGCAAATTTACCATCTTCAGCAAAGTATACAATTTTAGTATATAGTAAAAGCATGACAATTGGGACAGAGCCTGCTAGCCACAGTGTTTACACTCCTTAATGGATTACACTGGGACAGGAGAAAGTATTGTATCATAGACGACATTTAAACACATTTTTTCATACTTCTAGCTAGAGTCACACACAGGTGACATCCGATGAACTCTCCGGGTAAGTGGATTGACGAAAATCCCATTAAGTTAATTACAGCACGTAAACACATTTTCATTCCGTGGAAGCGAATACTACAAAAACACTCACAATTATGAGACATATATTGTATTCCTTTCATTTATCTCATGGTAATTCCTCTAATGCATAGAAATGAGTTTGAAAAATGACTTGTTTGGAAAAAATTTAAGTCTCAGCAATTCATCAGACGTGTTCATTTGTTGTGGTACGTGTGGCCATTACTCACCCTTAATGTGTGGTGATGAAGAACGGGTTTTCTTTTCTTTCCTTCGTTCTTTCTCACCAAAGGAATTGTTATTTATTGTGTCCTGCGAATAAAATGGAGAAAAAGAATGAGGGATGGATTTTTCAATATACAAAGTGCAGACAGGGTCAGATCAATATTTCCGAGATTAATCCGTACAAAAATAAATATGATAGCCAGATTTTTTGGACACTACCATGAAGATAATACATACATTCTCTACATAACCTTAAAAAAATGTATTAATTTAAAAAAATATAAGCATGTCATTACATTAGATAAAAAAAATATCAAAACAAGTGGAATGTATTTTAAATAACAGCAGCAATTTATTAATTAATAAATCAAATTTATTTATTTTTCACACTAAAACACAAAGACAGGCATGTGTACATCTCTCCATCCTGGATAAATGATTGATTTTGTCAGCATTACTACTTGCCACTACATTTTAGGTGCTTTTCTATCATATAGTGAAACCAGAAAGTGTATTTGAGTACAATCCATAAAGCAGGTGAGTTACAGGAAGAGCAGCCCGACAGATTGATTTACCGCTCTTTCCTATCGCTGACTCACCAATTGACCACGCTGCTATAATGCACCTTTAACACAGACATTCCTATGTTGCCATAGCAATGCGCCCATCGATGATGCAGAATTGGCATGCGTGAGAGAGTGTCAGTGTGTGCGTAAGTGTGGGGGTAGATAGGAGCACACACTAGTGTTCGTGACGGAGGAGGAAGACACAGATGGCTGAAATGAGGCTCTTATCCAGTGACTCTAAAAACAGTATCAGGAAAGAAACCAGATGGGAGAAACTCTATCCCGACAGTATATTGCGATCTAGTTTAATAATCAAAGCCTGTCTCAATATATTACTGTGGGTCTACTAATATCAGACTAGAATTAAGCAATCTTTATAAATATATGACATTTAAATCTGAGAAAGATATATATATACTATATTTATACATACATAGTGGACAAAAGTGTCTGGAGTTTTCAATGACACTACAAGTCCAATTAAACTATCAAAATATGAGGAAATTGTATATATATATATTTATATTTTGAATATGAGTGAAGAACAAAACACTAAACTTAGTCTGACAAAGTTATTTGGCAAAAAAAAAGCAAACAACAGCTACAGGTTTTATTTTACTATGCAAAAAAAAGCATTAAAAACAAAAGGAAAAAGCATACACCGACTACAACATAATAAGTTATTAATATTTCGTTGGAGATATTAATATCTCTCTAGTTTTTGCATGTTCATAAATTCTTTGTATGACAGCCGTGTTTCATTGCATTCTCTCAAATAAAACAATTGTCACCAAGCACTTGAGCAAATTTCTTAAACAAATTAAACCAATTTTTAATAATATTTGAAAGAAGGGTGAAGATGCCCATTTTCCTAGGCCAGACATGACTTTTGGATTGGAGCTGAAAAATTGATGACTCATCCTGCACTACATTGTTTCGTCCAATCAGATGCTTACTTTCTAGAATAAGAATGTCTGCACCTAAAACCATATGTGTTGATTTAATAAAGTCTTTAAATAGTCAAAAAGGGTGGTATGTTTTAACACTTTTCCACAAAAATCAAAGAGATATATTAATAAATTAAAATAAAACATACAATCCTCTGCTTCTAAAACAACTATACTTTTTGGCTGACATCACAGCCCCTCCAAAATATGCCATGACTGTTAACAATTCAATAATTTCCTGATAAAATCAAGTCTTGTCCAACATTTTTAATTGTTGAATATCCCATTTCGCTCAGAAATGTGTTATATTACAGAAGTAATAGGTTGTCAATAGCGCTTCACATCTATTCAAAGGGTTTCAGCCAACATCCAGGCCTCTAGCTTTCAAGCTGAAATATTTTCGTCACAATGTAGATATTTTTAGAGCAGACATTTTCACAGTTTTACTTGTATTACCCAATAACTGTGTAAAAGCTCTTTGCTAATTCCTCAAATGCCCTTTGAGCCCCGCGGCTGTGCCAATGCTGCAGACGTGGAGAGATTCAACAAGCCAAGATTACGAGATTAAAGACAGGGAAGCACATTTACAGTCATCCACCATCTTCTCTAGTTGTAAAACAGTCTGCAGTCACAAGCAACACTTTCATGTCAACCTCATAACCATAAATCATATATCTTACAAGTGGGCTTTTGCAATTCTTAATAACAAACATTCGTTTTAATATATCCGGTGTTTTAGACATTCAGGACATTGGACTTTAGCCAGCACTAATGCTATAAGATGGTAAATATTGTTATGCAATTACTGCAGCCCAAACAGATTAAACTGCATTGTGTTTACGGTTTAATGTGCATTTTCAGCTCAGTGCAGGTTAATGGGTTAGTTTTGCATTCATTTACTCACCCTCATGTCATTTCAAACCTGTATTATTGACCAATATAAAATGAAGAATGAGACTTGAGTTTTTGCATGATTTCAGAAGATCCGGAATAATGTATTTTTGAGACTTTCAATGTATGTAAATGAGCAGCTTTGAATGTTCAGCAAAATATTGTGATCTGAAATTTGGATTGACATGAGGGTGAGTAAATAATGACAGAATGTTCATTTAATCTAGAATCATTATAATCATATGCCTTTTTTATAATACTCTGAACAACATCAGAAAAGGTCAATTTGAGTTCAGTAAGTCTGGGTTTGAAGTCTTTTCAGGAGATAACAGTGCTGCGCCATTACTTAAATCATTTAGTTCACTTTGCCTCATTACCCACAATGCACTTCAAAATAGAGAAAGAGAAAGGATGGCTGCTAATGATTTACCTTAAAAAGGTAAAAGGTTAGATCAGTGTTATTTTAGTATTATATTATCTATACTTTGGACCCTTTTTCATTTCCAATGTTCTCAGATGCAGAAGTCATCATAGTTGGGTAAACTTCTACAGTGGTGAACAGGAGACGGCAGCAAATATAAACAATATAAATGTTTATATAATTTTTTTTTAAATGAAAATATTAAAAACTCTATATTTGCAATGTTGATAACTGTGGAAAACTGTCATAACAGTCTGTAAAAAGGGTCCATTATAGTATTTATATTTTTTTTACATTCATTTTTATTTTAATGTTTTTTTTGTTTTGTTTTTACTTTTAAAATAAAACTTAATTTCAGTGAAATAACTTCATTTTAGCGCTTGGGAAATGTAATGGAGATTGAGGCTATTCTTCCCCAACCAAAATTCTGATATCATCATATTTTTGCAACAGTTCCCAAGTGAACATAATAAAACCAACAAGATTTTCGCAAAATGTCAGATCAGAGTGTGTAAGATTTCTATTGGGGCATGTTGTCACACAAGGTTCCTGGACAATAACAGTAGAAATGTTCACTATATTTTATGGAACTAAGAAATGCCGGAGTAAAAAGTGACAATTTGCTAACCCTAAAATGTCAATCTATTCCAATTTACATTTCACAGATCACAAGACTTTAAAAAACAGCGCCACATATGACATCCAAAAGACGTTTTTTACTCCCACCTTGTAATATTTTGTTCAAATCGCCCCATTAAAGTGCCGCCCCCTGCTGTTTGACCCTCACAGGTCAACAGTAATGATCCACTCACGCTCTTTCTTGTCGGATTGCATTACGCATGGAGGGCGGACAGCAGTGATTCATAGCAGGTGGGCCCGAGCGGGAGCGCACAAACAGGAAACATCATCAGCATCAGCGGCCGGGAATATCAAAGAAAACCAAACGCTACGTGCCAACGATTTACATATACACTGAAAATACACCCCATCCCTCCAGGGGAATGGCTCGAGATGACATTATCGCTCGAGATCTTGTTTGTGCAGTATAAAAATTCATCACTCTACCTGTAAAACAATTTCTAATCCCTGTCAATCTGCCTCGGACGCAAATAACAAGACCAAAGGCCGCTGCCCAAACTGTCCGTCTCACCTGAGTCCTTGGCACTTGAGGGAAAAGATCCAGGGTGGTGGGTCTCTTGGGCCGGTAGGTATCCATGACGACGGCAGGGATAAAATCCTTTAGCTGAGGCTGAGTGACAGGCAGCCCTGCGCCCTGCTCTTCCTTGTGGTTGTCATCGACGGCATCAACCGGCCGCCTCTCGTCCTCCTCTTCCTCCTCTTCTTCCTGGATTCCTCCCTCTGCATCAATCAGGTCCAAGTGGAGCATCTCCGTCTGCAGCTCCACCACCCCCCTCCTCCGGCCGCTCCTCGGCGTACCATTGGTCGGCTGGGTCATGTGATCCTGGGAAGAGCAGGCAGCAGAGCTTTAGAGTCAAGAGCAAAGGAGCTGCAGTCAGAGGCAGCCGGCCAATCAGAGTGCGGTGATGACATCAGCCTGTGGCTCCCTTCCTGGCTGCTGTAAGGAAAGCTAATTCAATCCCAGAGAACAATGAGGCGTGTCACACGACATAGCAAAATAAACACACCCAGAAATGAGAATTTATAACATGTTCATTACACTAAACTGCCTCATTGCCTATGAACACAGCAAAAAGACTTATGTTACGATGCTAATTATTGTATTGAAAGATTGTGAAATCATAAATGAGGGATTTTTAGTTTAAGTGATTAGATGATTTCCATGGTCAGATATGAATGGCTTTGACAGAGAGAATTTAGAACATGTTCAATAACGCTAATCTATCGTATTGTCTTTAAACACAGCATTTATTAGCATAAACACTTGTTATGATGCTAATTATCACATATAAAAGCTTCTGAAATCATAAATGAGGGATTTTTGTTGACATTAAGCGGTTAGACGATATCCATGGTCAGATGTGGTTGCCTTTGAGGGAATTAATAATATGTTCAATACCGCTAAATGTCCTTGTCTTTAAACTCAGCCTTAGCATAAACATTAATGTCATGATGCTAATTATTGCATTAAAAAAGCTTGTGCAAAGATAAATAAGCAATTTTTGTTTAAGTTAATTTTAAGTTTAAGTGGTTATATGATAATATCCATGATAAACAGTCAGATGTGATTGGCTTTGACAGGGAATTCATAACATTATGCTAAAAACGTTAGCAGTTATAGAGTCTTTAAACAGCTATTCTTAGCACAAACACTTATGTTATATCGTCAATTGTTGCATAAAAAAGGTTGTGAAACTATAAATGAGGGACTTTTGTTTAGGTTTAAGTGGTTAGATGATGATATCCATCATAAACAGTCAGGTGCGATTGGGTTTGACATCTCCCCTCAGTGTTAATGTCTAATGCTAATTGACTGCTATGCTAATTGGTTCTGAACACAACAGCCTCTTGTGACCTTATACTCACTCATACTCATATGAATACTGAAATCTCGACACACATTCAGACCGCAATACATGGAAACTAATGATGTGCCGTTGACCTAGAAATCTATTTTTGCTGTGGGGTAAACTGCTCGCCAAGATCTGTACCTTCAAATGATTCCTCATTCAGCTTGAGACCGCATGACTGTGTCTCATGGAAAGATAAGTGACTGTTTGGTTTTAGGGTGGAGAGATATAAACCACACATACACGTTTTACTTTGCGGTGGGGCCTGCCTGTTGACGTCTACTGTTTTTGAATTAAGATAACTGTGATTACTATAGTCTAACACTAATCATACTCTTTAGTTACAGACATTCTTTGACATTTTAATTAAGCAAAGGGGTTAGATCATGCAAAAGTGAGTTTTGGTCATCATTTACTCACCCTCATGTCTTTTCAAACCTGTAAGACTGTTACAGAACACACAAGTAGATATTCTGCTAAATGTCCAAACTGCTCTTTTTTATACACTGAAAGAAAGCTAATGGTAACTAATGTCTGCCTAACGCCTTCTTTTGATTTCAACATTGTAATAGGCCTACAGCTATTTTAAAACAACATGAGGGTGAACAAATAAACATTTTTGGATTAACTTTTTTAAAGGCAATATTTGTCCATGCAATGTGCCATCCTTTAAATATAAAATACTTAAAGAGTTTAATAAATAAAATCACATCAGCTAATTAAACCAATCTGTTATATATTTTAAAATGATGGTTTTAAAAAGGATACTGCAATCCTTACATATTTATGGTGGCCCATTAAGTGTAATTTCAGATTAAATGGGTAAATAGGTCTGGGTATTGACACAAATTTCAGATTGGATTCGATATCTATTCACAGCTTGCGATTAGATTCAATTCTGATTTCGATTTGATTCAATATAGATTAATGCATCATGTAGGCAACATTAACATCGAATATTCTCAAGGGGGGGGGGGGGGGGGGGTGTAAGAAAAGCAGTTGGTATTATTTTAATATTTACTGATTTGCTTACATTTAAATGACAAAAAGGAAGTTGTTATAATAATGTTATAATAATAATAATTGCATAACTTTTTAATGACTATTATGTTTCTACTCGTTTTTGAAATATACACATTTAAATGGTGCCATGACGGATTTATTCAAACAGACTAGCCTACATTGAATATTGAAGAACAGTTAAAAAAAAATACAATGAATATGCAATATAGTGCAAATATTTAGCAAAATGCTCCTCTCTTGAGTTTATTTGTCTAGCTGTAGGAGCTCATGGACATTGAATGTCTTTTCTGAGGTAACGTTAGACTGTAGGTCTATGTGACAATGTTATTGTTTTTGACGTCTTGAAACACGGATTAAGCGATTACATGAGACATGACGGATTTCGGTCAATTGTAGGCACTACTATATATCTTTCAACATAGCCTACCTTCTGATGTTCATCCATGTTTATTTTGTGCTGTAAAATAGTAACGTCAATAAAAAAGAAGAGATTATTAGTTCCCGTGCGGAACTTGAGGCGATACACCGATCTGTCATTCCTCATAACAGAGCGCCAAACCGGTCTTTATTGTTTGAATTTCGTAATAAAATTGATAGAATTTGAAAGCTGAGACTTTTTCATGTCAATAGCAACAAAGCACAACGCTTATTGCGCTGATGGGCATGGTTACAGTTTTGTCAATCAAAATGAAAATCGATTAAAATCGGGAAATCGCTCAACCCAGTAAATAGGCTAGGCTACTGTTAAACTTCATTTCAAACAGCTACATTTCATTTGCAGTGATACAAATATTTTTCTTAATCCAGGCACAGTCTAAAGTTAAGTGCCATTTTTTATTCCTGAACTAGTCTTCAAGTCTTGAACTAGTGAGCTGTAAAGAGATTAGCTTCAGACTCAGAGATGTTGATGAACCCTTATGTACAGGTGGTGCTTTGGCACACCTCCAACAACCAGAGTAAACCTGACTCTACAAACTAGATGTAGCCTACGTTATAAAATAAATACATAAAATATTAAGCCTAACTTCAATGTGAAATAAAATGTAAATATATGAGTAAAAAAAACGCATTTAAAATGTAAATTAAGAAAATTACATATATTTTAAATAAATATATTACATAAATTAAAGAATATATATATATATATATATATGTGTGTGTGTGTGTGTGTGTGTGTGTGTGTGTGTTGATAAATATAAATAACCTAAATAAATTATATTAATATGTAGGACAGATGTTAATATGAAAACAGACTATTTGTAATTTGAGGGTATAAGCTACAGACTTACTTTAGGGTCGAGGTCGAGGTGGTTGAGAGTGATTCCGTTCTCATCCGTGATTTCTGTTACTTCTGACAGGTCATCATCCTCGTATTCATTCAGACTGATGTCATGCGTTAACCTGAAAAGTGGCAGCACACCCACATACACAGTGACACACACTACTACGTCATTCCTCCAGGAGACTATTGCTAGACAATCACAGAGAGGGCAGGGCTCACCGGATGATCTGATAACTTCAGGAATACTGCAGTGCTATATATACACACACAAACATTGGTTTCCATGTTTTATGGGGACTTTGTATAGATGTAGTGGTTTTATACTGTACAAACTGTATATTCTATTCCCCCACACTAACCCCTAATGCATTTTTACATTTTAAAAACACTTAATTTAGTATGATTTATAAGCTGTTTTCCTCACGGGGACCAAAAAAATGTTACCATAAGGTACAATTTAATGGTATTGTGGGGACATTTGGTCCCCATAACGTAGGGAATACCAGGAACACACACACACACACACATATATATATATATATATATACTGTATATATATATACTGTATATAGCCTATATATTCAGAATTATAAAAGTGCATACGGAAATCTGTTGTAAGAAAGCATAAGCAAAAACACATTTCTGCTGTTTGTTTTAACACATCATATGAACTTCCTTAAGCAATAACAGTTACATTCTTATTCAGTCTATAATGTTTAGAAAGCAGCTGTTGTTAAGTGTCCTTACCTCAGTCTGCAAGCTAGCAAAATCTTTTAGCCATTTGCTGATAAATGAAGCTTTAAAAAGCATTCAGACATACTAACTTCTCAGCACTTCCTTTATACCTGCAATTGTGCAGCCGCCCACATTTCATGATAGATAACAAGATGAACAAGATAATTGTTCATGATAACAGCAAATTCAGTCAAGCGAAAAAACCTAGAACTATAATGTCGTTTTGCACACCACAGTTGAGTTATTTGTATTATTTGTATGATTTTGTACCATACAAAACACTCAAATCAAGCCTAATTTTAGGTTAGAAATATTATACACGCATATTAAATTACAAAAACCTTCATATCCATAACCCTTACATTTATTGTCCTGCATGCACACCAAACTAACATGCTGGCCCATTTCAGAGCACACAGGCTGATCCTAGGTCAGATAAGTGCAGCGTAAAAGGCCCCATCACTACTGTACCATTTCTCCCACTGTTCCTCCATCCAGCTGTCCCCATCCTCTCTGGAGTCCATGGCCAGGCTGAGCACCATCTGCGGGGCAGGGCGGGGTGCCACTGGACCCTTCTTAGGGGGAAATCGATGGAGCCGACAATTATGCCACTTTCTTTCTCAACCTCCCGTCCAGCACTCCACACAGAAACGTCTTCAGCGAGGGTCCTCAGGGGGGGTTACATCAGCCACGGGAAGCTGTAGTGCCTGTCCTCACATCCCCTGGAAAACATCCTACTGCACACCCCTGACACTCCTTTCTCTGCTCTGCGTGTGTCCTTCAATGGAGCCATTAAAGTCAGTGGCGGATAACTGAGAGAGAGAGGGAGAGAGAGAGAGGGAGAGAGAGAGAGGCGTAGTCTCCTCTAAAAGGGTCTGCCACCCCAGTGATTGATGGTCCAGATCAATGCGGCTCAAGTTGCCACCTCCATACAAGTGCAGGCCGACAGCGGCACTGGAGATGCATGCTGGGAATCGATGGCATTGATAACAGATGAAAATATCTGGAAGGCTGTCTGAGATATATATTGTATCATTAAAGTTCATTAGTAACAACTCCTAAACCCTGTTAATTAGATCTAGATCTTCATGGTTTCATTAATAGAATAGCAAGCACGTTATTGATGGATCAAACATGCGTCATCTTATTTTACATTGTGCGTCTGGGCAAACGAAGATTACACGTGTTATTGACTTGCAGGAGATCCGTTTCATTGTGGGACTCTAAGAGTAAGCTAAGAGTACATTAGCTGACCTGGACAGGAGCTGAGAGCTCTCCCTTCATTAGCACAGCTCCCACAGGATGCCATTCACATCAGCTCCGCATACAGCAGCTCCATTGCATTACAATACTAGACTGAGATAAACACCGGCACACTGCTGGATGCTGCTCAGTTCACTCAGATGTCCACTGATGGGTGGACATCACAGATATTCACAGAAATAATAAAGCTATTATACTGGTGATGTATCTGTGACTTTAGTTTAATGTAAAGGTTGTGACCTTTTAAAAAAGAAACAAAACAACCAAAAAAAAAAAACACAAAAAGAGGGGAAAACAGAAACCAAAACAGATAAAACAACAACAACAAAAAAAGAACAAAGAGTAGAAAAACAGACCAAAACAAAGAAACAAAACACACATACACACAAAAAACAAACAAAAAACAGGACAGCAAAACAGAATAAAACTAAGAAAAAACAACAATGAAACGAAGCCAAGAACAAAACAACAAAAATAAAGATGAATAAAATAATAAATAAAATATTTAAAAACTAAATATTATAAAAAATAAAAAGCCAAAATAAAAACAAACTATATAAAAAACTAACCACTAAAATATATTTTAAAAAATTGTTGTAATGAAAGAATGAAAGATTTGCATTGGGCAGTCATTAGAGACATCTGAACAATTAAAAACATTTATAAATGAACAGACTTGTGACTTTGAACATAAATATGACCCTGGCCACATTCCACCCATTGGCCCTTACCAATCATGGCCTCCTAATAATCCCTAACCACTGAACTGGCTCTATCACTCTCTCTCCTCTCCACCTATAGCTGGTGTGTGGTGACCGCACTGGCGCCGTTGAACTGTGGCTGCCGTCGCATCAAGTGGATGCTGCACACTGGTGGTGGTTGAGGAGAGATACCCTGATATGATTGTTAAGCGCTTTGGGTGTACAGTAGTACATATGAAAGCACTATATAAATGCCTCATTCATTCAATATGATCAATTTCAATCACCTAATGCAAATGAGCAGGCCTTAGCATAAATGCAATTCAGCATATATATAGTGTGTATATATATATAATATATATATATATATGTATTACACATGCACACGCACAATGTGAAATACAAAAATGAGGTTCGTGTGACGCCCTCTAGTGGTGATTGAAGTCAGTGTTTCTCAAAACAGTGCAGGAGTTTCTATCACTATGCTAGGCTGTTGTTGTGGGTGTTTTTAAGTTTGTTGCTATGGTGCTAAGGCGTTCTTGGTGGACTGACCCAAGTCAAAAGATCCCTCACACAAGTGTGTGTGATATTCTGATACCTAAATATGGCTCACGTCCCCCTTTCAATGTCTGCTGCTGTAACGTCCACCAGGCAAAAATTTTCAGAAGTCTGATCACTTAAAAAAGTTATTTTTTTACAAGATGCATGAGGTTTCATTCATGTAAGTAAAACAAAGGCTGTAGGATGTGTAACATGATAAACGTTTTCAGGTTGAAGAAAAACAGTCAAACGAGTTTCAAATAGATTCAAGAAATTTATTTGATATATTGTAGTCTACAGTAAAACATCGTAGATGCAATATATCGCAGAAAAGTTGTCGCTGACAGAAGCATGCAGTGAAAAGGCTTAAATAAATGACTGCCTACAAACAGAACAGCTTAATCCCATCAGCCTTTTAATGAAAATAAACTCTTTTATACAATACAAAAAAGAAAAAAAAAGGGAGGACAAATAAATAAAGCTGTTCCACCTTGCGGAGGAAACATGTTAAATTGTTAAATTATAGTGAATGAATACATTTAGTGGAATGTACAATTATTTGTTGTTAACTTTTAGAAAACCTGCAAACGTTAAAATGAATGAGTTGATAAATAATAAATCAAGCTTATTGAATTAATATGAGGATGGATTCTGTTGAATTCAGAAAACTTTAGTGCAGCCAGTGGCAACGAAATGTTTGCATTACATACACAAAGCGTATATTTATAGGGAGAAATTACCGAAACAGAAACCGTAGTAAACTTCTTCATTGCTTGTGCGAACTAGTTGCTTGTAGCTTGCAAGCAATTATAGAGTTCAACTATATCAGACTTCATACAAAAATTACAATTCTCAATTCATGTTGTCAGAACACTGTAGGCTTTATCTTCAAATGTTCCCCTCATCATTTTTATTCCGAGTTGCATAAAATTTGGCTAGATATATTCATGAATACGTATTTCGGCGAATCGTTCATTACTCTCAACGGCGACGGGAATATCCATTATATTTCAGTCCGATCGCACTGAAGGGAGAACTAAACATCTAAAACATATCTGTATCTTCATACAATCATGTTTAGTTTAGCAGGTCAAAAGCAGCTGTTTATGACGGATGTTTGGGAAAGATGGATCTACAGTATAACACGCCTTGACGGAACTGTTCAATCTTTTGTTGTCGTCGTTGTTTTTTATTAGTGCCGTTTCTGTTCTTCTGCGAAAGGTGGCACCATTTCTCACTTTTCTCCTGCCGTTTCTGTCTGTTGGATAGTTCGGGAAGGTAGACTCCTCCGAGTCCGACTCCCTTGGACATGGGACTGCAAATGAAGTCTCAACCTGAAGAAGACAGAAATATAATTAATGATCATCATTACTGTGGGCTGGTTTGTTTAACCTGTTAAGCACTGAGGGACTTTTTAGAGTTTTTAGAGGGTTTTTTTCTGAGTGACACACACAAAAGTAAAGACTCATAACTTCAAAACTATAGTAAGGAGAGTCAAAAGGTAGGTATCGTTTAAAAGAACACTTTTCAAATTTTTAAAAAATATAAATTACATTACATTTGGACATTCTCCTGCTGAGAAACTGCTGATAAAAGACAGAATATATATATAATTTTTATTATGATTTTGCATATCTTTCTTATTTGTCATGGAATAACTCAGGAAGGAAAACAGGTAGAAGGAAAATTCTTTTTTGGTAAAGTACCTCTACATGTGACCTGCAGCTGGATCAAATTTTGTGGTCATTGGATGAAGTAATCAAAAGTTACAGCATTTGGAACCAATATAGCATTTTTGTTCAGCCCTTGACGCCCCCTAATGGGCATTTTTAAAATTGGTTCTCCATGAAGAATTTCTTATCATAAAAGCAATATATTATGTTAATTTTGGGCTCATTTTAATTGTAATAATATGCTGTAAAAAATTAATTGCCATTTTCAACGATCTGTGAATGTTTCATGAGCTGTATGATGTTTTTGACATAGTAAAAAAAGTATTTTATAAATTATGAAATTTTTATTTATTTATTTATCAGCAAATAACTCAGCACTACTTAGGAGTTTATCAAATTGGCTACATTCACTGCAAAGTTCAGACTCTAATTTTTCAAATGACACCAATTTTGTGTTAATCGAGGCATTATTTTTGAAAAAAATATGATAATGTATATTTTCGCAGCCAGGTTGCCCCCGCGGGCGGGGGCATCAGAGTTAGAGGGACTAGTCAGCTCTCGTTCAGAGAAAATCAAAGTGATTATATGCATTAAAAAGCTGAGATTCTAAGCTTTAAAATGATACCTATTTTGTGTTATTCCACGTTTGAGAACGAGCACGGATGGCTCCGGGAACATTGGAAAACACATTGCACCCCGGAAAGACAAGAGACTTTTTAGCCAAGTATTCATCACTTCATGAGGAATATCTCGTGATCAACGCGATGGATTATATTGTGTTTGGGCTCTTTGTAATCGTGAGAATCTGCTGTCAATAAAGGTTTTCAATTTTTCACAATCCATGCATGTTTCGTGGAGTTATGAGCTGCAACGTCACATCAAAATAGCATAGCATCGCTGCTACTGCTACTTCATGGGTGCGCATAGTGCAACTTCGTTTTAGAAGTCCACGAGGAATATCTTTAGATCTGAGTGATGAATTATGGTGAGTTTGGGCTCTTTATATTCTTTAAAATCTACTGTAAATAATGATGTGCCATTTCCCACAATTTCTGCATGATTCGTTGAGTTAAAAAACGCGACATCAATGCTCTATCTACATACTAGGCTCTATGCGCGCATGTGGAGGTTCGCGTGTCACAACTCCATTAGGAATATCTTTAGATCTAAGTGATGGATTATGTTGTGTTTGGGCTCTTTTTAATCGTGAGAGTCTGCTGAAAATAAATATATGCAATTTTCTACGATCTAGGCATGCTTCATGAAGTTATACGCGAAAACCAAACGCTAGTGCATTGAGTATATACTTGTCTAGCTGCGTCTCTGGTATTTATTTGTGTTAGAACGCCATGAGGAATATCTTTAGATCTGATTGATGGAATATATTGAGTTTGGGCTCTTTGTAATCGTGAGCTCCTGCTGTAAATATCGATGTGTAATATTTCATGATTGATGTATGTTACATGAAGATACGAGTAAAAAGGCCAAGTCTAAGCTACCTTGCTTAGCCATGTGCGTCTGGATTTTTTTTGTGTTAGAAATGTGTTAGAACTCCATGAGGAATATCTTTAGTTCTGAGTGATGGATTATGTTGAGTTTGGATTCATTTTTATCGTAAGCATCTGCTGTAAATAATGATGTGTCATTTTCCACATTCGGAGCATATGGCACAGGACTATCTGAGCTGTATGATGTTTTTAACATTTTGCAGTATGAAGTATGAAGTATGATTTTTTCCCCCTCCTATTTATCAGCGAATAACTCAGCACTACTTAGGAGTTTATCAAATTGGCTACATTCACTGCAAAGTTCAGACTCTAATTTTTCAAATGACACCAATTTTGTGTTAATCGAGGCATTATTTTTGAAAAAATATGATAATGTATATTTTCGCAGCCAGGTTGCCCCCGCGGGCGGGGGCATCAGAGTTAGAGGGACTAGTCAGCTCTCGTTCAGAGAAAATCAAAGTGATTATATGCATTAAAAAGCTGAGATTCTAAGCTTTAAAATGATACCTATTTTGTGTTGTTCCATTCAGTGGTTGCTTAGTAATATGATTATGAATTTTTTTTCGCGGAGGGGGGGTGTCCCGCTGCGGGGCACTTCGGTTTCAACAACTTTTAAGCTAATATTTCATTTGATATGTATCATAAAAACGAAAGTGATGGTATTCTTTGTAAAGACTAGATTCTAAGCTTTCAAATGAGACCATGTATTGGGTGATACCTTATATGGAAGCTTTTAAAAATAACGTACGAACATCATAACAAGATGTTGCCCCCGGTACCGGGGGCGTTGGGTTTTAACAGGTTAACTCTGCTGAATACGCTTAATCATGCCGCACCACACACATAGTTTTCCATTAAAATACAATGATTTTGGACCAATATAATTAGTCAGTAACAGGTTTGTTTTTGTGGCTTGAATAAATATGCTTCATATAAAGAAATAATACAATGATTCAGAATCAGATTTAATAATAAATATATTTAAATCTAAGATGTGACTTTGTTAATCTGGTTTGTTAATTTCTGATCATTTTGTTTTGGCTAGTAGAAAAATCTGAATGGCTGGTAACTTAAAAAATATGCACACACACTGTGGGTTTTATAGCTCTGGCCTGTACCTGTGGTCACTGCTTTTCATCAATCTTCTGCTCGACTCCTTTGGTTTGGTTGGCGTGCTTGACTTTTGACTTCTGTTTGCTTGTGAGGTCAGAGGGTAGACCCCTCTTCCTCTGGATGTGGGTGCCGGGGGCAGCTGCTGTCGGGCTGGAGGGCTCAGAGTTGGGTGGGGTTGAGGGTGGAGGCGTGGAGCCTTGACCTGTAGAAAACATGATGCCGTTTCAGCAAAAGTACTGTCCTGACAAGAACAATTGTTTGTCTGGTCATAGTAGCAATGGTATGATTAGTTATTAACAATAAGGGTTAAGTTTGCTTCTTTGGCTTTGTAAACATTCTTATGTGCGATCAGGGAGTGTAGTCACACAGAGAAAAACAAAGCCTAGCTGAAAGAAAAGAAAGCTGGACAGTGAATCCTGTTAGTATGATGATTGACGCGTCTCACCGGCAGTGCTGCTGCTGGCCTGAGAGTCATCTGACATGGGAGGCTCCGCCTCTTCCTGGATCGTAGGGACTGAGGCGAGCAAACCTGTCACAAAAAAGGCATGGTTAAAATTTTTGGCAAATGCCGATAAAGTCGTCATCCACAACTGCACAACAAATATCATACAGAAATAATGAAATGCAATGTAAGTCGCTTTGGATAAAAGCGTCTGACAAAAAAAAAAAAAAATGCATAAAATGTACTGACATACTTTTATATTTTATCCTTTAGTAAAACGCAATAACTAGCTGTATTTTTAAATCAAAAAGACTTCTGTGGCAAGAGCTCTTTTAATCTTAACACGACTAAAGTCTTAACTGAAGTCTTTTTAGTCTTAACTAAACATGCACTCAGGTTGTTTTTTATTCTGACATTGCAATGTTCATTAAAAATCCTCTAAAATTAGCAATCAGTACAATAGACCAGATATCATTTTTTATCTGTAAAAATGGCAGCTTTGAAAAGCTTTCTCAATTATTGAATCATTTTGAGCAAATGCAAATGTACTATTTTCCATATTGGGTGGGCAAGCATGATCAGATCTCTATGCAGTCCAAGTTTCAAAACCATTCTATGCATACATCACTAATGGCCTTGTGCAAGGCCCTCTTCAAAGAGATTTGGTTGCTTAGTGGCTTAATTTTCCCTTTTTGTGTGACCCTGACCTTAACCTGTAGTTCTGGAAAATGTCACTCCAAGCTCCTAACATGCATTTGATTTTAAAGTCTCATTTTCCTCCACTGCAAGAGCAAAATGATCTATAAACTCTAGTGGGTCAAAAACAAATGGCTCTTTGATCTACTGGGTCAAAGAAATTTAGTGAGAAAATTACTGTACCGAAGTTACTGCTTAAATAACCCCTTATACAAGCTCTTATATCATAAGAACAATTTTCTTGTTGGTGACAAAAATGCTGTAATTTCCTGTTTCCTCCATTAGAGGGCTGTAATAAACCGTTGTGTTTGATAGATCCACCGTGTGTTACTCACTAAGGCCTCTGTAGTGTGACAGCTGCTGGTAAACTTGTTTCATTCGTTCGATGTTAAGCCGGCTGCTCTCGGCATGATTGATCATAGGTTTAGGATAGTCCACACCCACAATGCAGTTGGCCGCTTTCTGCACTGATTCTGGAGCGTTCCATGGCTCGTAGATGTAGCGGTTAGGATAGTCTTTCAACTTCGGGATGTACCTCCTGCATGTGAGAATGTATTGATGGTTTTAAAACAGACACTTACAAATAATGGCAAAATATCTTTCTTTAAATTATACACATTTTTTATTAAAAATGACATTATTAGCATAAAAAGCAATTCATAATTTCTTATGCCATTTTGTGTGCCCCAAAATTTGACGCAGCATGTTATTTTCCAAGGTATTCTTGTGATATTAATTTAGAAAGCTTCACAATGTTACAGCAGCTTCTTTGAAAGCACAGTGGAGGGATCTGAACCTGTGTCAGTTTACATAAGCCTTTATGCAACAAATCTACAAAACTCTAAATATATAACACCTGCCAGTGATGTAAGACGTGCTGTCTTACTGTGGTTTAGGTGTGGTTAAGGGTTGGTTTGTGTACCTGATGTACTCTCCGGTGGGATCCGTCCTGCGGCCAAAGCCCACGGGACAGTAACAGTGAAAGAATTGCTGAAAGAACGCACTGCAGGAGAGCCACATCCAGCTGCCCGCGTTCACGCTCCAATCGGCATCCAACAACAACTCCTCAAACACCTGAGAGAAAGAAAGAAAGTTCGATTAAGAGAGAAAAAGAACAAAAAGGAAGAAAGGGGAAGTTGCACCATCTTATTTACTTTCATTCCGCTTTCCCAGCTTATCCACAGGTCTCCTCGAGTGAGGAAACAGGCTACAGCATGCCGGGCCAGGTGGTGGATCCAGCCCTCCTGTCTTAGCTGGGTCATGATGGCATCGATCCAAGGGAACCCTGTCCGACCTTCAGCCCATTTAGCCAGTGCCTCGGGGTTGTGATCCCAGGGAATCTGTACGCAGATGGGGTTTCCCTCCATACGGTCAAAGTTGGGGTTGTTGGTGCCCGCTGTGTAGAAAAACTCTCGCCACAGGAGCTGGCCGAAGAGCGAGAGGGGTGGACTAGAGTGTCTCCGCAGCTGGAAAAGTGCAAAAGGTCATGAAAATGGTTGTGAAATATGTTTTACTACGCTGTAGTTTTACAGTATGTCTTTTATAACCATACATGCATACTCAACAGGAAACACCAATAATTAATTCTCAAACTTTATCATTGCTGCCACATTTTAAATAAATACTACAAAAATAACTTCATGAGGTATCCACCTGGGATACTTTTTATGAGTAATGGAGTTCCCTTGCATGCTGGGCACTTGATGGCTGCTTTGGCATTACCATGGTTTTTGTTAAGAAATTAAAATTTAGACAATTTATATTCATCTCTAAAATTAAATTAAAACATTTCAACATAAGCCTTCAGATCAAAAGGTTTATTAAGATTATGGGAAATATAAATTCAGTCAAATGTGCCCAAAACTTTAGCTGGTAGTGAATATTTAATACAGGTTTTCTTGTGGTGTCCCCCAAGGCTTGATTTTGGGGCCCTCTATTATTTAAGTTAAATGCAAGTATTAGCAAGTGTAATTATTATTCAAATTGAACTTCCACTTTCATAATTTCTATGCCATCTACCACTCATTATTAAACTATTAAACTTGCACTTCTCTAGACGACTACCAACAATGTCATAAAATAACAATTACTTACCTTTATATAAAGTTCCCGCAGATTGTAGTAAAACACACGACATGACAGACAGCCAAATCGTAGGTAAGGACTAAGTCCAGTTGGGCTGGCGAACAGTGATTGAGCAGTTATTCTAGGCCTCTCGAAATTCGCTACCCAGGTCTGCATCAAAACAAAAAGATTAAATCAAAATATAACAAAGAATATAAAAATAAATCTTTTTTTCAAAGGGATATATAACCATTTATTAATTATTCCTTTCTAGAAATATAATGGAGTGAGTAAAAAAAAATATATATATATAATAATAATGTAAAAAAACAATACAACAGCTGCATTTCTTGTTAATTAGTCATCAGTCATTATTAAAACGTATAACTTCATGAAGTATCTCCATGTCTCACCTTTCTGTCTAAGTGTTTATTTAATCTGTCCATGGCTTCTGTCTCACCGCCCTTCCATACATGTGTGCTGTCACGCTGAGTCTTAAAACCCAGCTCCTCGAGAGAGGGCACGCCATAGCGCTCGTCGTGGTTGTCTGCGATCTGCGTCCGACACCTGTCCATCTGCTCTTGAGTGACAGTCGGCAGCGGTTTCCTGGGAAGTTCAAGTCTGTTCACAATGGCTTGAAACCTCTTGAAAGTGAGAGGGGGGCTGTGGTTGTTCATTTCTATGATCCTGAGGGAAAAGCAAAAACATGTCTCTGATTTCATGGTCTAAAAGCAGTTATTTTCTCTCTAAGGTTGAATATTAATAGAACTTAGAAAGGGACAGGTCTTAGTTTGATTTGATCTTGTTGAGTGGTTGTCAAAAGTTTTAGTGTAGAAATAAATCATTTTCAAAAGGCATCATTAGATCAATTTCAAGGCTCAACAATAAATGTGAGAAAGTGTTTTGAGCCAGTCGATATGTCACAGGCCCAATATGATTTACAGTAGTGTATCACAACTACAAAAACAAAAAATTATTTTCTTCAAGAGCATAAACATGTTGCAAATTACACTACCGTTTGAAAGTTTGGGGAAAGTTTTTTAAAGGAATACTTTTATTCAGGAAGGACACATTAAATTGATCAAAAGACATTCATAACGTTACAGATGCTGTTCTTTTGAATTTCTATTCAACAAAGAATCCTGAAAAAAAAAAAAAAAAAAAAAAAGCGGCACAACTATTTATCCATAAGCAGTAAATAATAAAACTATTTCTGAAAGATCATGTGACACTGAAGACTGGAGTAATGATGCTGAAAATTCAGCATTGCATTACTGGAATAAAGTAAAATGTACAATATATTTAAAAAAAGAGTTATTTCAAATCGTAGTAATATATATACTCATTTTATATTTAATAATAAAGTGTTTTACTGTATTTTTGATCAAATAAATGCAGCCTTGGTGATCATAAGCATAAATTAAATGCAAGAACATTTATTTACACATTAAATAAATGCTTGTTTGTTATTTACACATTAAATAAATGCACCCAATTATTTAAAATAAAATATTAAAAAACAAAAAAACACTATGTAGTGGGATCAGTACAGGAAAAAAACCTGATTGATGTTAACAGAACCATGCTTGTTTGTACTGTAGGACATTTCACTTATAGCTCATTCTACTACACCAATTGGTTTCAAACAACCTGAGGTGGCACTCCAAAAAGCTCAGTTTTATTCTTTAGGAAACAAGGTCACTAAAGTAAGGTCATATTCGATCAAATAGGAAAGAGTGCCTGGCAGCGTGTCCAGACACACTTCCCCACATTCTCCAAATGCAAGCATACATGTCCCTGGCTGGTTCTGAAAAGAACTAACAGTCTCAGTGTGCCCTCTTAATGAGAAACAACAGTCTTAACACATTAACAGCCTGTCCCTTATTAATAGTCCTGATCTTATACAACTGTCTATATCCAACAGGGGTGGAGCCCTGCCATTGGCCCGTCCTCTCGGCACGGTGCAGAATCAGGGGGCACCCGCGTGTTTGTTAGGAAAAGCCTGGCGCTCGCTCGCACATGTTTGCAGTGGTGACTTGCATGCTGAGCTATTTCACCCTCCCTCCAACCCACAGCACATGTTTCTCAGTGTGACCATCAGGGCCGCTTTCAGTCACCAGATGGCAGTAGAGTCTCATTTCTTCTGTTTGAACTAGAGACTGACGTCACACTCACACCCGCACATGCATTCACACACGCTTATGGATGCAAGCTCATTCTCTTCCCCTCTGAATGAGAGAGTACGGGCATATAATACCATTTATGTAACCTATGCAAAAGGACACTTGTTTTACATTACACATCAGGAGTAGTTGTATCTGCACGGTAATCTGAGAAGGGGAGAGTCATACTCTCATGTTTGGTAATACACTCGGGAAAAGCATAAGAGATTGTGAGTTGCACATGAACAGAAGTGCAGAACAGTCACAGTGTAGCAAAGTACATCATTATGTCACATTATGTGAATCACATTTGTGAATCACAAGTGCTGGCAAAGTTTACTGAGTAATCTAGTCAATGATTAGGGAATGTGAACAGCCTGGCTGCTGCCTTTTGGACAAGCTGTAGACATGATAAAATAATTTGGGGCAGAACAATCTACATTGAGTTGCAATAGTCTAACCTTGATGAAATAAATGAGTGGATAACAATTTCCAAGTCAGTATGGGAAATGAAATGCTTTATTTTAGCGATCGATCTCAGGTGATAAAAACTACTCATCAACAGCACTGATCTGCTTATTTAAAAGTAAATATGAGTCAATAATCACTCCAAGATTCCTCACATGATCTTGTACGTTTGACAACAACAGGGCAACTAGACCAGGTAAGCAAGACAAAGAAGAACCTAAGATGAAGACTTCGGTTCTGCTCTCATTTCATTGTAAGAAATTATTTGCCAGCCAATGTTTAATATCTTTGAAACAATTTAAGGAATGAACAATTCTTCTCTATACTCGCTGAAATAACAGTGGTAAGATATGCTGCATTTCTGAAAAATAAATCTATGGGGAAACATGTACAATAAAAAATAACAAGGGTCCTTAAATTGACCCTTGAGGGACACCACATTGTAGAGCTGATGTAGAAGAGAACTGGCCTAAATTAACAGAATGTTCTTCTTTTTGATAGGAGGAAAACCACTGGAGGGTCATCCCCTGGATGCCCACCATACATTCTAAACGATCTAGAAGAATATAATGGTAGGGCTGTCAACTTTAGTCGTTTAGTCGACTAATCGGTCGATGCCGTCTTGGTCGACTGACATTCTTATTGGTCGACCAGTTGCATTTTTTTTTTTTTTTTTTACCAATAGAAAGAAATTTTCAATGATTTACTCCTTGATATTTATTCCTTTATAAGCAGTTATATATTACTGTATTCTAAATATAATTAGCCTATGGTTTATCCCCAACTTTAAATGCTTTAATTTAGGCTTTTTGTAACAGCGCCACAGTTTAGCGCACACACATAGAACACTCGGATCGCACCTGTGGCTGGCTGCGCTGCTGCTTCGTGCTCAGTAAGGGATATAGGTAGTTTAGCTGTATTCATTCAGTTAGAACACTACTTGTTTCGGTTTTTATGTTTTTATACACTATATGTTTTTATCTCGATGCGGTGTGGACGCACTTGGAAAAAAAAGAGCTCGTCGCACCGCGACCGCGTTGCTTCCATCATGAGCGCGCGCCTACATTTGAAATCGAACTTGAGCGCGCAAAAGACGTGAGCAGTCCCTTTAACGGCTTTATCATGCTGACTCAATAGATTGTGTTTTCTTGATATGTTTTTGTTTTTATTTGTACACTTGACGCATTTGAAAATAGCCTAAATAATGTAACAAAACGAAAATAAACCTATATGCGGTCCTACAATACAGCCTATTATTATTAGGATTGTTTTTTAGGCTCTTTGGGTTTTTTGTGTGTTTGTTTTAAAACGCCTAGATCGGCTGGACAAAAGTTAACCCATAGCTTTGAAAGTAAAGAAGAATATACAGCCTGTATAAACGAGAGCTTTTGTTAGGATTTTTCGTTGTGGCAGATAGCAGTTATATTTTTTGTAGCGCGTGGTGTGGTCAGGTGCGCGATTGTGACTGTTACTATAGCTAGACCGTCTATGAGCTAGACCTAGGACAGTGCTCCACACTTTTTGCAGTTAAAAAAAAAAATCACTTAATTTTCAAAGAATTGTATTATTATTATAGTTTTATGTATTTTTGATGTTTTTTCGTTGTTGTTTTATAAATGCTCTATGACAATTGTTCAAAAAATTTCAATCAAAAATATCGCTTTTTTTTTTTTTTTTTTTGACTAATCGTTGCGCAGGACAAGACTTTGGTCCACTAAGGATTTCTTTGGTTGACTACAGCCCTATATAATGGTCAATTGTATCAAATGCGGCACTGAGATCTAAAACTAGGACAGCAGATGAACCTTAGTCCATGGAGAGTAAAATATCATTGGTGACGTTCAAATTCAATAATGCAGATTCAGTGCTGTGCAAACATTTGAAACCAGACTGAAATGTATCTAAAATATTAAATGTATTTAGATAGGAGTAGAGCTGCGAATAAACAGCTCTCTCCAAGATCTTTGAAATAAAAGACAGTTTGGAGATCGGTCTGTAGAAAAGTTTATTTTTTTTATGTAAAATTGTGTGTTTAAATCTGCTTGGAACAACTCCACTTGCTAATAAGCTGTTAATTATAGCTGTCACACTGAAACTGATAGTCATAAAAACTTCTTTAAAAAGGCGTGGAGAAAGAATGTCCAGCTTGTAGCTGGAGCACTTTTTTTTGGAGACTACATCATTTTGGAGACTACATCTGCTAGTTGTTCTGGTGTAACTGGTTCAAAGTGAGTCCGAGAGCTGGATAGGGGAGGAATTAATGGTTGATCAAAAGGAGTAGGTACAATTCCACATTTAATCTGCTCAATTTTGTAAAGGAGTATAAAAATGTTTCACAGTTTTCTTGGGTAACATCTAGAACAGTAGTTTTGGTTGGGTTTAAATCAGAATCAATTCTATTGAACAAAACTTTTGGTTAAAACTTGGCTTTAGCTTCCTTTACAGCTCTCTGATAGTTTGTTTAGGACTCCATTAAGATGTTATAAGAGACTTTAAGCTTGTCTCGTTTCCACTTACGCTCAGCTTTTCTGCATACAATATGGGCAATAATAGCTGCATATTACACAACTATAAATGTAATATTACACCCCCCCTCCCCCCTCTTCTATTGTTGTCAAAAATATCAGTATCTCTTTATTCCAACTGCAAATTGACACACTTGTCCACTAAACGGCATGTATTGTTTGAATTTTATGATAAAATGGAATTTGAAAGCTAAGACTTTGCTTCTTATCAGGAGTAACAAAGCTCTTTGTAATTATCGGATGGGAGGCGCTACAAATAACGTTTGGTGTAGGGAAAAACCGCTGATCTTACAACCCTGACTTGAAATTCATAGGGTCAAATAGAGCCTGCTTTAACGTCGCTTTTTTTAAACTGTTAATGCGTTAATGTCTCTTTCACTTCAACAGCTCTAAATTTAACATAAAAAGAGATTTTCTTCACAACACAGTACTGACATGTTTTTTTTAATTGATATAATAGGTAGAGGTCGACCAATTCATCGCTTTTGCCGATTAATCATATTAAAAGGATCATGTGACACTAAAGACTGGAGTAATGACGATGAAAATTCAGCTTTGCCATCAGGAATAAATTACTACATATTACAATACAAGATAGTAAAACAGGCTCAAAATTAATTATAAAAATATTTTTAATACACTACCCATTAAAAATGGACATACTTGAGTGAATTTAATATTCTGACAATTTTAGAGACAAATATATATTAAGCCTATGAATGAATTTCTTTACAAAACCAAACTTTATTAAAACTGTGAGGGAACAAGAGCATGTGTCAGTTTTCCCTGAGGAAAGTGTGCGAGTGCAGTTCATCACCCACCTGTCTGGACTGTAGAGCGTGTGAATGTTTCGTACCACGGTTTCCACACCATATTCATGCGCCATTTTAATGATGGCTGCATCTCTTTCTTTCCCATAAGGCTCAGAGTCATATTCAAACGTGAGCCGTGTGACATTCCACTCCTGAAAGAGACAGAGATCAGATATACATGTTAAAGAATGACACAAATGGTCAAAGTAACTACAACATCAACATGTAGTATCTTTACACCTTATTTCTAGCAGTATTTGTAAAAAGCAGTATGCAAAAAAGTGTTACATAAAGGTTAGGTGAGGTCAATGATGTCCTCAAGTTAACATCATTAACCAGCTGCTTCTTTCGAGTACATCCGGTGATATAATCTTTTAGTGTTTGATTACCAAATAAGGCCTAAAAAGGTGAGCCCTTAAGAGTAAGGTCAATTTAAACTTCACACACGGCCACTGTGCTCTTCAGTTGTTCTGAAGTAAACGGTAGCTCATTCTGTGACATCTTGGTTATACAAGCTCATTTTAAATGGCTGATGTGCTGGTGCCCTCAACCCCCTCGCATAAACACAGCACTATTAACCTGCCAAAGGGATCGTACAACCCACTTGCCAATGTCTGAATGAAGCATTGTCGTGCGAGAGAGAGAGAGAGAGAGAGAGAGAGAGAGAGAGAGAGAGAGAGAGAGAGAGAGAGAGAGAGAGAGAGAGAGAGAGAGAGAGAGAGAGAGAGAGAGAGAGAGAGAGAGAGAGAGAGAGAGAAAGACTGCTCCGACTGCATGAAAATGTGATCTTTCATAAACTACTTTAGCAGGGTTCCCACTCTTTTTCAGCGACCATTTTCCAGGTCTTTTTCAGGACATTTTCAATTTTACTATGACGGGAAAAAAATTTCAAGGATCACGCCCTAAAGTAATATATTGCTCTCTAAATCTTTAAAAGGCATACAGTTTATTGCCATGACTTAACTATAAAATCACTTTTTAATATGAGCTCTTAATCATACATTATGACTATGGAAGCTAGGACTGTGCGATTTGGGGAAAATATCTAATTGCCATTTTTCGGGAGGTTCCGGTGGCGCGCGCTGCAAGATGGCTGCACAGCACTAGGCTCCTGACTAAAACCTCCTAATTGAATGTTTTTTTTTTTTTTTTCACGCTGAGGATTATCATATTTTGTCACAACTGTATAAGTTTTATTTCAAGTATGGCAACTAAGAAATCGAGTTCACCGCAGAAATCGGCAGCGGGCTGCAAACGACTCAAAACGCTCGAGGACGACGTAGCCTCAATTGTTAGCCATGCAATCGAAGCACAACAGGAGGCCATGCGCGAAATGGTTTCCCGCATGTTGACAGAGGCAATACAATCGGCCCTTAATCCGTTCAAAGACTTTATCAATGAAAACAGCGCTGCTCTTCGTGCGATGAAAGAGGAAATGGATTCCTTGAGTAAAAATGTGGCGTCGATCACAACCAAAGTGGACAATCTTCAGGGCAGTTTACGCAACACTAAAAAAGATGCGAACCTCTGCTTATCTCAGCTTGAACAGATGCAACGAAAATGCAATGACCTCGAAGACCGGTCACGTCGCAACAATGTCCGCCTGGTAAATCTACCAACTGGAATGGAAGGGGATGATCCGGTCGGTTTTCTACAGAAAATGCTACCTAAATGGATCCCCGACCTTTCGGCGCGCTCAAGTCTGATCGAGATCGATAGAGCTCACCGAGTGTATTCGAGTTCCAACTCACCAAAACCACGATCGTTGATATTCCGGCTCCTCCGCTATCCTGACAGGCAAGCCATCCTTCAAGGAGCCCGGAAAGCAAAACCCACTTTGCCCGGAGGAGCGCGCCTGGAATTCTACGCGGACTACAGTCACGAGACGGCACAAAAGAGGAAGGCTTTTTCGACCGTGAGATTCAAGCTTCACCAGAAAGGCGCAGAAACTTTCCTAATCTACCCAGCATCGTTGAGAGTCTCCCACAAGGGTCAGAAATACTCGTTTGAATCTCCGGAGAGTGCTGAAAAATATCTCGAGGGTCTTGATGTTAACGCATCAGTATCTGCTCGTAGATCCTTAAACTTTCCGCCACCGGAGGAAATGGAGTAACGTTAGGTTGCTTAAGGCGACATCGTTTGAGTTCTTTTTTTGCTGAATAACCTACACAATACAAGGACCAATTCTTTATCAGCGTATGGATTTTAGTTCACCAAAGTGAAATGGTAAAAAAATTATTTACGTTACATATAATTGGATTTTGTTAAACAATTTTCAGTTTTTAAAATTCAATTTTCAAATGGTGCAGGTGGTAGACAGTTAGGCTAATTGTGAAGGTCTGGTTTAACAATTGGACGTTGTCTGTTCAGAAAAGACGGGGCTTAAGTTACATTTCTTAGACTTCAGTTAAATCTGGTTGCCTTAAAATCTAGTTATGAGAATGGTGTATGTTTGACAGTTCTTCTGACTTTGAAATTTTTGTTCTTTAATTTAAATCTCCTCAAATGTTAATTCCATAGGGGGCTAAGAAGGTTAATAGTGTTCAGACATTGCCTCGCGACCGCCACAGACGTTTGCTAAAAGGGGAAGGTGGGAGAGGGAGGGGACGCTTAGGCGCTTAAAGCACTCGGGACTTTTTTTGTTTTTATTTTGGCATATTACAGGGGGAACTTTAATGATACACTCAATAATTTGCTCTAACTATTACATGCTAATTTCTATGTGTCCGGTTACTACAGACTATGGTTAAAATAAACATGCTGTCTTTTAACGTCAGGGGGTTAAACTCTCCTATTAAACGTACACGGGTGTTAGATCTTTTACACAGGAAAAAGGTTGATGTTGCATTTCTTCAGGAAACCCACCTGACCGCCATGGATGCCAAAAGACTGCAAAATAGGCATTATATCCCCATAGTATCATCTAGCTGTAAATCTAAGAAGAAGGGAGTAACCATTTTATTTAAACGTAATTCTAACTTTACTATTGAACATACAGGTTCGGATGAGAATGGTAGAATTGCATATTGCTGTACGTTAATAGAAGGAAAGAAGTTGGCATTTGTGAATATTTATGCTCCGAACTCTTATGATGCCTCCTTCTTTCCAAATGTCTCCAAAACCATATTATCTCTCCAAGGCTATTCAATTATCATTGGATCTGATATGAATGCCGTGCTCGACACAGTTTTGGATCGTTCTAATACTTCAGTTTCAGTAGCACAAGCCCAGTCTTCTACAGCGCTGAGATCGCTCATTAAAGATATAGATGTATGTGATGCTTGGTGACTACATAATCCAACAGCCAAAGAGTACACCTATTTCTCCCCAAGTCATAAATCATTTTCAAGAATTGATTATATTTTACTTTCATCACCGTTACTTTCAGGGCTAATCAATATTGAATTTCTACCACAAAGTGTTTCCGATCATAATGCTGTACTAGCACATCTTCAGATTAATACATCTTGTAAACCATCCCGATGGAGATTTAATACTTTCTTACTGCAAAATGAAGACTTTCTTTCTCAACTGAGAGCAGGACTGATTGAATTTATCAGTATAAACCAGGACTCTGTTGCTAATCAGGAAATGCTATGGGCCTCCATCAAAGGGTTTTTAAGGAACAATGCTATTTCCTTTTCAGCTAAGCTTAAAAAAAATTATCTTGAACAAATATCAAAGTTAGAGAGAAGATGCGGGGAATTAGAAAGGGAATTAAGCAATACATTTTCCAATGATACACAACAAAAATTACATGTAGAAAGGGTTGCACTTAACGATCTGTTGCGAAGAAGAGCAGAGTATTTAATGCACATTACAAAACATAAATATTACATAGATGGAAGCAGACCGAGTAGACTCCTTGCGCTTACTCTTAAAAAACATGAGCGACGTTTTAACATTCAAGCAATCCAGAGTTCAAAAAATGGTCTCACCTCACATCCCGCAGACATTAACAAAACGTTCATGTCATTTTTCGAAAAATTATATTCTTCAGAAATGCAACCCAGTACTGATCAGTTAAAGAATTTTTTTGATCAGTTAAACTTAAACATACTTTCAAAGGAGGAAGCTGACAGCCTCGAATCTGAAATCACCATAGAAGAATTACACTGCGCATTATTAAGTTCAAACAAAGGAAAGTCCCCGGGAATCGATGGCTTACCAGTTGATTTATATCTGTCGCTGTGGGATCTACTTGGCCATATCTGGTTACGTACTATAAATGAGTCCATATTCAAAGGCCGTTTTCACAGAGATCTCAATACAGCTCTAATCACGGTTATGCCTAAACCCGGCAAAGATCATACGGACTGTTCTAATTATAGGCCCATCTCCTTGATTAACGATGACGTTAAAATGTATGCTAAAGTTATTGCCAGGCGTCTACAGTCAGTGATACAAAAATTAATTGACTCCGATCAATCAGGATTTATTACGGGTCGTTTGGCTTCTGATAACGTTCGTCGAGTGTTACATATCATTGCCGAATCCGAGAAATTAGAAACACCTAGCGGCCTCCTGTTTATTGACGCTGAAAAAGCCTTTGATCGGCTGGAATGGTGCTTTCTATGGTATACATTGAAGAAGTTCAATTTCGGTGACCATTTTATTAGAATGATTCAAACTCTATACACTAATCCCATGGCCAGGGTTTCTACTGGTGGACTCATTTCAGATACTTTTAATATTTGCAGAGGCACAAGACAGGGGTGTCCGCTTTCTCCTCTTATGTTCAACTTATCGTTAGAACCCTTGGCACAGTATGTTAGACAATGTAAACTCATTACCCCGATTCAGTTAGGCTCATCTACCCATTCTATTTCTTTGTATGCCGACGATACTCTGCTATTTTTATCTGATCTACAACGCTCACTTCCTAACGCCCTTCAAATTATAGACGAATTTGGCACATTATCAGGGTTTAGAATGAATCATCATAAAACTATTTTAATGCCTCTCAATTCAGATGGTTGTAATTTTTCTATTCCAAATAATATTCAGATTTCAACACAAGTCAAATACTTAGGGATTCAGTTGAGACCTACTTTACCCCTCATTTCCAAAGTCAACTATATGTCAATTTATGGGGAAGTGGAGTCGGACATTCAAAGATGGATGTGTCTGCCTTCATCGCCATCCGCCCGAATGGCAACAATAAAAATGAATATTTTGCCCCGCATTAATTTTATTAGTTCTATGCTTCCTCTCCCCCCACCAGTGAATTACTGGAAAAAGTTGGACTCTTTACTGATAAAATTTATTTGGAATGGAAAGCGTCCCCGCATTAAGTGGTCTACACTTCAAAAAAGTAAAATAAAAGGTGGAATGGGCTGCCCTAATTTTAAATGGTACCACTGGTCTTTTATCCTGCTCTCAGTTTTGAAATGGTTTGATTCGAGCTCACAGTCTTCATGGAAACAATTAGAAAAAGAGCGCATTTTACCAATTCGTTTGCAAGATTTGTTATTTTCAGGCCTTTCTCACAGGAAATGCTCATTATATTATGGTCCTATAATTTCCTACACTCTTCAAATATTCAAGAAGATTGAAGCCTGTTTTGCATCTAAAACTTTATGGCACACTCATACTCCGATTTGGCACAATCTGAACTTACTTTCTGGCGGTCAACCTTTCGTACAGCCTTCCTGGTCTACAAAAGGTATTCTAACGTTAAACGACATAAAAGGGGAAGATTCAATTCTGGATTTTCGTGACTTAATAGAAAGATTTAATATTTCGCAGAACACTTTATTTTTATATTTCAAATTACGTGCCGTGTTAAAGGCCCATAAGGTACCTTGGGGTATTAATCTTCATACCCACCCGGTGGTGAATTGGTTCTCAAACGCACCAAACACAGGAATTGTTTCATATTTTTATCTCTGCTTTCAAAATCTTAATGCAGATAATTTTTCTAAAGCTAGAGCTTGGATATTAGATCTGAACGTTTCTAACAGGACAATTGAATGGAATACAGTGTGGGACAATACATTCCATGCATCCACGAACCCGAACCACCAATTCATTCATTTTAAAGTTATTCACAGGGCATATCTAACCACACGTATACGACATGTAATGGGTTTATCACCCCACCCGTATTGTAATTTCTGTGGACCGGGATGTGTGGACACTTTGGTACATATGCTGTGGGACTGTCCAGATGTGCAAAAATTCTGGGATGCGGTGCTTGATGTCTTGTACAAGGCTTCGAGGATTTGTATCCCCAAAGATCCTGTTATTTTATTGTTAAATGACAATTCTCAATTTCCTCTATGTGAGAAAGTACGGAAATTCTGGTTAGCTGCTATGACCGCTGCAAAGAAGTTACTTGTTCAACGATGGAAACCTCCGCATGATCTTTCTATTAAACATTGGCTTCACTCTTTATTGGAGATATTATACATGGAGCTGTCTTCGGCACGGACCAATCACGCTAACCCTAGGACTATTTCGATGTGGAAGAACTGGATATCTACAGTCAAGAAGTTTTTGGTTACTTAATCTGCAGCTACTTATGGGTGTTATCATTAATGTTAATTTATTAGTCTTTCTCTGTATGTATTTTATTTTATCCCTTGTTATTCGGATACTGCTCAATGTCCCGAAGTGCAATGGGGTGGGTGTGGGAAGGGGGTGGAGGGGGGAGGGGGGAATTAGTAGTCGTATAAGTTTTCTTTCTTATATTGCAAAATGTTTTGTAAACTCTTTCAAAATAAATAAAAACACTAAATTACAAAAAAAAAAAATAATTGCCATTTTTCGGACAGATATTGCGATTGCGATTTGATTTGCGATTACATTTTTGTGAAGTCTTCAGCTCAATATTCTCAATAGTCTGCAGCACACACTCTAAATTAAAGTAGTACAACATGCCTTTAACTGTAGACCCCTCCACTACCTAGTCTAGCAGATGCAGAGTGCCTTTCTATTAGTGTTAGTGTCATGCATTTTGTAAGCAATTTTTTTTTATTTAGTCTTAGTCCTGTGTCCAATGTACTTTTTAGTTTTTATCTCATCTGTTTGTATCGAAACGCTGATGATACAAAGTTTTTACGTATACAGCTAAACGCGTCTTCGTGTGGACGAGCATTTATACTTAATGCACACATCTATTTTGACATCAGAATTTTTTGTCCCATCCAATGCTGGTTATCACCATGTCAATCAATAAAATTTTGGTAAAAAAAATAAAATTCAATCCCGCATTTAAATAAGTTAGTCATTCCCAAAACTTTGCAGTGTGTATATACATAGCAGCATGAAAAATAAAACTTTTTTCAAACTGCAAATGGGTTATATGCAGATAGCAAACAAAGTGATTTTTTAATCACTACAGCTGTCAATCACTTCAGCGCTAGCTCACAGAGTTCAGCACTGTTGTGAAAACTCCTGTTATACTCAATGAAGCTGGATACAGTGCACAATTAATATCTTATTGACCTTATAATCACATCAAAATTATTAATTATTAGAACATTGTACTTTCTGCAACTAAGTCAAGTCAAGTCATCTTCATTTATATAGCGCTTTTAACAATGGATTGTTCCAAAGCAGCTTTACAGAGATAAACATATAATTTAAGGTAACAGAGTTTGTTTTGGCTTTATAGCGGTTCTTGAATAATGTTATTTCCAGCTAAAGTTAGTTTTGATTGATTCACCTCCATTGAAATGATCATTTGTTATTAAATTACTAACAGTAATTGTTTTTGGCCAGTGAAAAACTCTTTGTTCTCACCTAAATAAAAAACGAATAACTTTTTTTAAAATAATTTTCCAGGACAACAAGATTTTCCAGGACATTTTACACTTTCTCTAATTTTCCATATGTTTTCCATGACTGGAAAGTTTGTCATCAATTATCCAGGTTTTCAAGGTTTTCCAGGACGAGTGGGAACCCTGTTTAGGGTGCTGGTGTAAATCAATGAGCATAACAAGACCCGGATGTTTCGCTGAATAGGGAATTACTGGTGCGTCTAAATGAGAAATTTAGAAGCTGTGGGAGGGCGTCTAACTTTAATACTTAAGGTTATGAATTTGAATAGACCCCTAAAGACAACTATGCATAATAGTAAAGTGATGATTGCCTTAGGAAGCATAGCTAATAAACATTTATATTACTCATGGTTCCCACACCTTTTGAGCAATGAATTTATTGATTACTGGATGAGGAAAATAAGGATTAGAAAAATGATTTCATAGAGATTATGAAATTGGATTAACACCAACTGCTTTGATTAAAATGGCTGAAAATAATTTCAACTTCCCAAGACTTGAAAGTCTAAAATTATTTGAGAGAACTTGATACTGAATGAAATTTAAAATGATTTCCGAAAGATCATGTGACACTGAAGACTGGAGTAATGATGCTGAAAACTCAGCTTTGCCATCACAGGAATAAATGACATTTAAAAATATATTAAAATAGAAAACAGTTATATTAAATTGTAATAATATTTCACAATATTACGGTTCATATCAAATAAATGCAGCCTTGGTGAGCAGAAGATACTTCTTTCAAAAAATCTTTTGAATGGTAGTGTTACTGTATTTGTAATATTAAAATATTTCACTGTAATAATTATCACATCACTTGCAAAAGACCCTACTAATGATAACCAATCACTAACATTACTGTAAATATATTAAAAATTAGCTGAGGTTAAAATATTCAACATCATATCCACTAACTATGGAAAATTATGTTATCAAATACAACTTGGACAAACCAAACCAAAGTTTCAAGTTATCAGACATTAATGTTTAGATACTAGCCAAAGTGAGACAAAAAGATACAAAAAAAAAAAAAACTGGACATATACAGACCTTAAAGACTCTTGGAAAGACATCTGTTGGCTGTCCCCGCACAACAAAAAGCCTTGAATTCAGTTTCCTCAAACTTGTGTCCAAATCTTCTAAAGATTCCAGTAAAAATCTGCAGGAGAGAAAATGTAAAAGATCATTTACAAAACTATGTATTAATATGCTGTGACCTTGCAAGCAGTGCTAGTTTCAGAAGTTATACACAACTAGCAAGTCGACCGTTATTTTAAGCATTCTTGAGGTCACACCAAAGACACAAATTTATTCAGTCAACATCTGAAACAAAACAATTTAGAGGAGCACAATATTAATAGTATCATGCAATGATCAAACGAATCTTCAATTAAATTGCATTGGATGATTGTATCTGGGCACCAAAAGTACTACTAATCTCTCGTATTCTATACATACTTAAGCTATCTACTCCTAACATACTATTTAAGGCCTCGTCTGGTTTAAAATAGGCATCGGAATGGATTCAAAAGATTCAAGTCATTGCAATGAATCAAAATCCCCAATACTACCAACGACAGTCTTTTAACTAAACAAACATTTAATAAAACTCTCACTGTCTGATTCAGCATGAACCATGTTTATTATTTTTTATTACATAAAAAAAAAATGTATGTTTGCATACTTAAACTTCAATAAGGATTCAAAAGTTTCTCTGCGTTTTGACATATTTCACTACAACGCTCTGGCTTAGTGTATTATAATATTTTTATTGCTGGGTTATTCATTCAAACAAAACATCTCTCAGCATGTATGCTGGTAAGACAGGCAGCAGCACACGTGAAAATCACGTGACTCGCACTAATCATTTGGAAAAAAATTTACACTCACGCACGTTCTTATTTCTGACTCGCGCGCTTTTGACTTCACCAACACTCACATTCAATGACGCCATAATAAAATTGTAATTTTAGCCGTTATATAAAACCAAAGTGGGCGTGAGCGAAGGGACTAACTTAGCTGTTAGCTTCCATATAGCTTTATGGTATCCGCGCTGTCACTGCACCACCACAGTTATATATCTTTCACGCAATAATAGATTAATTAATTTATCGTATTTTTATAAATGGAAATAACACACTAAGATAAGTTGAGCTGAAGTGTCCAGCTGACTTGTAAAGTTTGTTCACCTGAGCTAAACAGCAGTGGGGCCCTTTACGCGAGTGAATAATTTACATGTTTACAATATAACGTTAGTGGGTAATAAAAAGTCAGCATTTGATTGTTTTTGTTCATAAATAAGATATTAGCACAAGTATTGCGTTACAAATACATTTCAAGACACCAGCTACCATGCACACTCGGCCATGTCAGGGCCAAAACATAACAGCGGCTGTGTAAGTTACAAGACTCAAGAGCTGCGTAGGTTAGTTACCTAAGTTACCCTTCACAATAGCACTAAAACTACCCAGCGTACGTCTGTCTATAACCACAAACCACGAAAAATAAATGCCACTGACCTCCATCTGTTGACTCCCACAATGGCAGAACCTGCAAACCACGGGTCCAAAATATAAACACAGCGTACAGTATCCGCGCCATTGAGAGCTTCCTGCAAAGCCGGGTTATCATGAAGCCGCAGCCCTTTACGAAACCAATGCACGGAATTCACAACCATAGTTACACTTTTATTCCATCCTAAAGGTCAATGGTAGTCCAGAAACGCAAATAATCCCCAATTTCAGTCGTTCAGGGTCCACATTACGCCTCTCTGTGAAGTTTGAGATGAGGAGCAGTCAGAGTAGACGCAGTGAAAATTCCGCCTCTTCCCGCGTCCATTGGGCAACAGGACAACACGTGTACAGATTACCCAGAATGAGTGACTTGAGCCAGCCCAGTCACGTTTCTCTCGTGTGTTGTTCGCAATGTTCCTGGGAAATAATCGTCAAATTATGACATCACGCACTGAAGTGTTTTGAGGAAAGCAGATGGGAAATACATATCATTTACACAGTTATCCCAGTTGTGGATAGCTGTTGAGTCTGTCTACAATGTTTTATAAGCATGAGCATAAGCTGAAGAAACGCACGTGAGGTGACGTGTTTGCATTTTCTGGTGTTTCGCGCCCCCTCGTGGTATATAAAACGAATCGGTTACCTAACGTAACCTCGGTTCTCTCTAGAAGAGGGAACGAGTATTGCGTAAGCTAGCTTACGCTGCGGGAAAGATTCATCTTTGCTGAGATATTGAAGCCAAAAAATTATTTCATAATTTTGTATCCATACACAACGCAGTTCCTCTGCGGCAGACCTAGAGCGGGCTAGCTAGCAGCTCATTGGTTCGCTCAGAGAGAACTGCTTAAGCCTATGGGAGAGCGGGGCTGAACCCGCTTCCAATGAGAGGCGCCCGCGCGCTCATTGCGTCATGACCCGCCAGAATGGGCGTGGCCATGGTGTATATAAGGAGCTCTCCCAGGCTTATATGTTGATTTATTTCAGCGTGAAGCGAAACGCTAGTAGCGCAAGCACGGCCGGGAACGCAATACTCGTTCCCTCTTCTAGAGAGAACCGAGGTTACGTTAGGTAACCGATTCGTTCTCTCACGAGAGGTTCTCTCGTATTGCGTAAGCTAGCTTACGCTGCGGGAACACCTGGCCAACGCCGTGCGCGCTACGAATCCACTCATGAAAAAACAAAGGGATATACCGGGGGAATTTTTTAACGTGGAGTGAATGTACAAAGAGGCCGCAGAGCGGGCTCATGAAGTGTACACATAAGCATGTATGGGGCCAGCAGAGCGGGCACATGAAGTGTATAAGCATTACAGGAGAGCACAAGGGGCGAACCGGTTGTGAGGGACCTCCAGAAATGCAGCTTCTTAGAGAGCTGTTCGTCAGACAGCTAGTAATTTTGCCTGCAAGGCGGGAACTTCCAAGTTATAAAACCTGACAAAAGTGGACGGGGAGGCCCATCCCGCGGCCACACAAATGTCATGAACGGAAATTCCACAGGACCATGCCCACGATGAGGCCATGCCTCTAGTGGAGTGCGTCCTGATGCCCAGAGGGCAGGGCAGGCATTTAGATGCGTAAGCAGAGGCGATAGCGTCCACTATCCATCTAGACAGTGTCTGTTTTGAGGCGGCCAGACCCTTGGTGCGCCCCCCAAACGACACGAAAAGCTGCTCAGCGCGTCTGAACGCGGCAGCGCGCGTAGTGTACAATCTCAGAGCCCGCACCGGACAAAGGAGATTGGCATCGCGCTCACTATCGGATGAAGGCAGAGCCGATAGGGAGATAATCTGAGCCCTGAACGGGGTACCAATCGCCTTCGGGACATAGCCATGCCTAGGTTTGAGAATGACAATCGAATCATTCGGTCCAAACTCAAGACACGCGGCGCTGGATGAGAGCGCGTGAAGATCCCCAACGCGTTTAACTGAGGACAGAGCCGTCAGGAAAACGGTTTTGAGCGAGAGGTATTTCAGATCCACAGACTCGAGCGGTTCGAACGGGGGTGCTTTCATAGCTTCAAGGACTATAGAAAGATCCCAAACCGGAACCGACGGGGGCCGCGGAGGGTTCATCCTCTTAGCTCCCCTGAGGAAGCGGATGACTAACTCGTCTTTGCCCAATGACTGAGCGCGTCGGGGTTCCGCGAACGCCGCGACGGCTGCCACATAAACCTTGAGAGTGGAGGGGGACCTGCCCTTGTCCAGCATCTCTTGAAGGAAAACAAGCAAAGACGGCACCTCGCACGACCGTGGGTCCAGCTGTTTGTCGGTGCACCATTTTGAGAACACAGACCATTTAGACGCATAGAGCCTTCTCGTGGAAGGTGCTCTAGCCTGTATGATAGTGTTTCTTACTCCCTCTGGCAAATCAACGAATAGTCGTTGATCACCCATGCATGTAGCGCCCAGCGCTGTGGATGGGGGTGCCAGATCGTGCCGCGAGCTTGAGAGAGGAGATCTGCTCTGACTGGGATGGGCCACGGGGCTGTCTGTGACAGCTGCGTGAGCTCCGGAACCCAATTCTGACTCTCCCAACGCGGGGCTATGAGGAGCACCGAGTGGCGTGTGTCCCTGATCCTCTGAATTACCTGTGGTAACAGAGCGATCGGAGGGAATGCATAGAGCGGGCGGCGAGGCCATTCCTGGGCTAGCGCGTCCTCGCTCTTCGAGAAATATATTGGGCAGTGAGCGTTCTCTTCTGACGCGAAGAGGTCTACTTCTGCTCTGCCGAATAGTCGCCACAGTAACTGGACCGTCTGTGAGTTCAGGGACCATTCTCCTGTGGAGATGAGGTTCCTGGACAGTATGTCTGGACCGTCGTTCAGATGGCCCGGCACGTGCGTCGCTCTGAGCGAGAGCAGGCGGCTCTGAGACCAAACTAGAATGCGGTGCGTCAGTAGACAGAGATTTCTGGATCTGACACCGCCCTGACGGTTGAGATAGGAGACCACGGCCATATTGTCCGAACGGATCAGGACGTGGTGTCCCTGGAAGCGCAGGAGAAAGTGCGAGAGCGCGTTCTCGACCGCCAGCATTTCCAGACAGTTTATGTGTAATGGGCTTTCCTGAATCGACCAGTGGCCGAAGGCCGGTGAGCCCTCGCAGACTGCACCCCAACCCGTGTTGGATGCATCTGTCGAGATGACTTTTCGGCAGGAAAAGGTCCCCATCGTGACGCCTAGACGAAACCATTCTGCTACTGTCCATGGCTGCAGCGCCGTGAGACACGTTTGCGTAACCCTGATCAGCTGGCGGCCCGTGTTCCACGCGCGGTGGGGTACACGGCTGTTCAACCAGAACTGAAGCGGGCGCATGTGCAGAAGGCCCAACTGAAGTACAGCGGAGGCTGAGGCCATGTAACCCAGCATCCTCTGAAAAGTTTTCAGAGGCCTGCGGGTGCCCATCTGGAACGAGGCGGCTAGACGCTGAACACTGCGCGCGCGCTGTGTAGACAGGCAAGCCGTCATCGTGACCGAGTCCAAATCTATTCCTAGGAAGGAAATCGATTGACTGGGATGAAGGGAGCTCTTTGTCCAGTTGACAGAGAGGCCCAGCGTTTCCAAATGGTCGAGGAGAACTGCGCGGTGCGACAGAAGCTCCGTCTGTGATTGGGCCAAAATCAGCCAGTCGTCCAGATAATTCAGAATGCGCAGCCCCTGGCTTCGCAGGGGGGCGAGCGCCGTATCCATGCACTTCGTGAATGTACGGGGCGCCAGAGATAAGCCGAACGGGAGAACGGCGTATTGATAAACAAGACCCTCGAAGGCGAAACGTAAGAATGGCCTGTGACGGGGATTTATCTGGATCTGAAAATAGGCGTCTTTCAGGTCTAGAGATATGAACCAGTCCCCCTGGCGCACCTGCGCGAGGAGTTTCCTGGTAGTGAGCATCTTGAACGGTCTCTTCATGAGCGCTTTGTTCAAAGACCTGAGATCTAAGATCGGTCTGAGGCCGCCGTCTTTCTTGGGAACCAGAAAATAACGGCCGTAAAACCCCGACTCGGTCATAGATGGCGGGACTCTCTCTATCGCGCCCTTTTGCAACAGCGTGGCAATTTCTGAGCGGAGCGTGCCGGCGGCCAGCGGGCTGACAGAAGATTCGAGCTGCGCGCGCGCACGAGGCGGGCGGCGGCGAAACTGTAGCAGGTAGCCGTTCTTTATAATGCTTAACACCCACGGGGAAATGCCTGGAATGGCTTCCCACGCTTTGGAGCATGCGGCTAGTGGCCGAATGGCTGTATTGCCCTGATTGCTGCACATAGCGGGCTGGACACAGTGTGTGGGCGCGCTTTGAATGTGTGTGGCAACGGGATTTGCACTCAGAGAGGAGTCTATGGGCCGTGACACAGAGCGAGCAGAGAGGGGACACGTGCACGAGCTCGTGGGCGTGTTTATGTTCTCTGATATTAGAGCGGGCTGTGCCCGTTTCATGTGATGGGGCTCTGATAGAGACACGGGATATGTTATGCTTGTGTGTATGGGTGAACACATGATTGTGGGCACATTTTCTACACAACTGGCAAAATTTCTCTTTTTGAGATTTCTCTGGGTAGCCGTAAAAACGGCTTTTTGTCGCTCGCAAGCGGGCTGGGACACCGGCTTGTTTGTGGCGGTCAACACTACAGCAGTCGGCGAAATAACGGGGACTGGCAGAGGGCGAAGCTTTGACGGCGGTCCGGCCGCAGCGGGAGAGCACCGTCGTTTTCTTGACATTGTTAGGCAGACTTCTGATGATCAGGCTTCAGCGTGATCTTAGGTCGCGGGCCACGGGGGGGCGGCGGTCTGCGGCGGCTGTCAGAGCGAGAGCGAGGGCGAGGGCGGCCGCTCTGACTGCGCTGAGCTGTTTGAGTCTGCGGAGGGGGGCGCTGTGATGGGGCTCTGGCGGAGGGCTCGTGAGAGCGGCCCGCTGAAGAGCTAGCGCGGCGGGGTAGAAACAAGTTCATCGCCTGAGTAGCTTTCTGTACTTCAGAAAAGCGATCGACGATTCCCGTGACGGCAGATCCAAACAGGCCCGTCGGGGAGAGGGGCGCGTTGAGAAACGCGGCGCGCTCAGAATCTCCCATGTCGGCGAGCGTGAGCCATAAGTGTCTCTCAGCAACACAAAGGCTGGCCATGCATTTCCCCAGAGCTTGTGCGGCGGCTTTAGTGGCGCGAAGGGCGAGATCCGTAGCACTTCTCAAATCCGTGACGGCGGGGGGGG